ACCCTGGCGTGCATTCCCATGTCAGGCTTCTGCCAGCCTTATGTTGGCCAGCACCCCATTGGCCAAAACAAGGCAGATGGTTGAATCCAGAGTCGGTTGTGAGGGCCTGGATACGGGGCCCCTTTTGCTGCCTGTCACACTACCCATGCTGACCATGTCACATGTTTGCGCATTCCTCTGAGCCCTGTGCTGAGAATGATCCCGAGCTCGCTTCTAGCTCAGCAGGAAGAACATGGTGATGGATTAGTGATGTCTGCCATCAGCACGGGTGTGGGAGTGGACCCTCACCTGCTCTGAGCAACACCAAGTCTCTTCTCCCTCCTCCCAGCCTAGGCCAGGGCTCAGGGTCAGGGGTGGTTTTGACTCTCTGTCTCCTGGTCTTTTTCTCTGGTCAAGTGTTGGGCAGCGCCAGCTCGTTTGCCTGGCCCGAGCCTTGCTGAGGAAGACGAAGATCCTTGTGTTGGATGAGGCCACGGCGGCCGTGGACCTGGAAACCGATGACCTCATTCAGTCCACCATCCGGACACAGTTCGAAGATTGTACTGTCCTCACCATCGCTCACCGTCTCAACACCATCATGGACTACACCAGGTGAAGCATCTGGCACAGAAGGCCTCTAGGCCTTGGTGCCCACCTCACTCATTCACTCATTCATTCATTCAACACTGTCCTATGCATAGGGACAGCCCCAGTTGGTGGGAGCTCGCTTTTTCCAGGTGGTACCAGGTATTTTTGACGTCACTCAATCATCACGTGTGCAGTGCCTGCCACAAAGCCGGCCCTGTTCCAGGTCCTGGGGACTCAGCAGGAAGCCTGGCTAAGGGACCTTATAGATTAGCTGGGGGCTGGGTACAGAGACAGATAATAAACACGGCAATAAATAAAAGCAAACTGTGCTGGGAAGGAAACAGAGTAGGTGATAGTGAGTGTTGTGTGTAGCATCACAGGACTTTGACATTGACTAGGAATAGGGCTTGAGAAGGGGTAACCAGTTGGAAGGCTGCTGCCGCAGTCCTGACAGAGGTGAGGGGCCTGACCCAAAGCCGGGATTTGCCCAGCTGGGCTCTTGCGGGCATGAGGTGCCAACCCCTCCTACCACTCACGTCTGCGTGCCCTCCACTTGCAGGGTGATCGTCCTGGACAAAGGAGAGATCCGGGAGTGTGGCGCCCCCTCTGACCTCCTGCAGCAGAGGGGCCTGTTCTACAGCATGGCCAAAGATGCCGGCTTGGTGTAAGCCCAGCGCTGGTGCATCTGGTTTGACCTGCAAGGCCCACATACCTTGTCCCAGGATGAGTCAGCAGCCTCTTTGGGAACCCAAGCCTCCCATACACTGAAACCAAAAAAGGAAATAAAACCAAACCCAATAAAACAAAACCACAAAGCAGCCACCTTCTGGTCCACTGCCTGGAATTGGCTGTGAAGAAACAGGAGGGACACAGAGACGCAGCCCACCAAAGACACGCACAGCACACCCTTGCCTGTTACCCCCGCAGGACACACCGGCGTCGCACAACCTGGGAGAGCCTGCTTGTGCTCTTGGTGCTCTGCAGGGAAGTTTGGCAGCCAGACTTCTCGAGAAATTGGTTGCGTAAAACATGCTAGTGACCAAATCCAGCCAACTGCCTCAAATCTCTTTAGCCAAAGTCTGAAATTCCAAGTCTTCGGCCTCAGCTGCTGTCCTGGCACCTCTAACATCTGGGCTCCACCCAGAATGCTTCGTCCCCTTGGGGCTGCTGTTTGGAGGTGAGGGGCCTGGTGAACATCATCCTCACCCTCAGGCGGTGTCCTGGGAGCCGTGGACACTCCTCTTACCAACCATCCCGTGGCCTGGGCGCTCAGACACGGAGCCGGCGTCCCAGCACTGCCTGCACCGAGACTTGCTTCACAGGCCAGAGGCAGCCTCATCACCCGCGGGCTTCTCGTTGGCAGGATGGGCTGGGCTTATGGGGGACCTGGACCTGGAACTCCAGGGCTGGGGGATCCTCTCTCAGTACCAGTTTCCCACATTGGCTGCTCACCTCCTCAGCCATGCTGGTCTTTTCTCTGCCTTTCCTCCTGCCTCCTTTTGCCAGTTGCTAGAAGGGATTACCTCGAGGCATCTGGAAGGGGTTTGCTCGTGGTTGTGAAGGGTTCAAAGCCAGGAGCACTGGGCACTGCCACGGATGAGCAGCGGGTACTGAATCGAGCTCTGTTGAGACTTCTCCTCGTTTTTAGATTTCAGTTCCTCACCCTTGGCCTCCGGGTAGCCGTCAGAGGCGGCAGTGTGGAGACCGGACGTGTAGTTACTGAGTATGTTCCAGGACAAGAAAAAAACCCATTCACGAATATCAGTGATTGTTTTTCTTTTTTTTTTTTTTTTTAAAGTACTGCTCCCAGGAGAAACACTGTCTCAACCTAATTTCTTGGGCGGAAGTGTTGAGCTGGGAGCGGCTCGCCCAGGGAAAGCCAAGGTGGCCGGCATCTGACAGCGGGTCTGCGGGTTCCTGAAGAAAAAGCGGAGTGGAGACCTCCAGGGCCCGTCCTTTAGGTCTCGCAACCAGAGACCCAGGGGAGACCCACAAAGCAGAGGGGCCACTGCTGCCCCGAGGTTCCCTTGCTGACTTCAAATCCAGAAAAGCATCTTCCTTTAGGTGGAAATATATATTTATTTTTTGTAAGTTATACCATTCTTTCATAGTAGATAAACCAAGTTTTTCTTGGGAATCGTTTTGTAATGACTTACACTGGAAACGAGAACATTTACAAGCAATTTTCAGTAAAAAAAAAAAAAAAATTATTTCTTTCTAATAATGATTCCATTTTCTTTGGGGTTTCAGCCATCTCCTCTGGGAGTTAGCGGCTCCCCTCTTGTCTGCTTTCCTTCTTTCCTGTTGGCAAACATGCCATCTCTAGTGGGAGCCCCTGTCGGAAATGGGAGCCTAGAGGTTAAGAACCGTGTGGGGTAGAGTGGGGAGTCAGCATGGCCGGGTGGCAGTCTGGGCTCTAGGGTCAGACAGACCTGGGCCTGAGTCCTGCCCTTGTCATTCGCTGGCTGTGTGACCCTGGGCAAGTCACTTAGCCTCTGTAGTGGAGCTGATCACACCTGCACGGTGGGAATGTTGTGAAGATGAGCAGTGGTGTGTGTGGCCCAGGTCAGGTTCTAAGGCAAAAATCACGTGGCCCTTGAAAATCCCTTTGTGTTAATACAGTCAGGATAGCTTGGGCCATGCTGTGGCCGCAAACTCATGGGAAATGAACACAGGGTTCTGTTTCTTGCTCATACACGTCCTAATGAGGGTCAGGCGCCCCTGCAGAATCACTCCCTTCCAAGCAGCCACCGCGAGAGCCGGCTGTTCTCGCCTTTTGACCTTGCCTCTCAGGAGCTGGCTTCCAGGCCACCATAGAAGGGAGAGTGTGGACAACTCACACCCACTCATAAGTGTCTCAAATGAAGTAAATGGCGATGCAGGTACGATCAGCTCCATGTGTGGCTTCCCTGGATGTGTGTGTTCCCCGCCAGCCAGGCTCTGCTGGCAGGAGCCCCGGCGGGGGGATTGGTGGCCTGGATGGCATGCAGGCTGGTCCCCACAGCAAGGGTGTGGGCCAGCAGCAGCCTTGTCAGCAGGCTCGTGGGCGCTGGCTCCTGTGGCCCACACTCTGGCCCTGGCAGACCATCTCCTTCGGTGAAAGTAGGCTTTTGTGACCCTGGAGTGATCCCAAGTGAGTCTGCCAAACACGCAGCTGCTGCCGCCTTTGCCTGTGGCCGCTCTGCCGGGCCGTCCGGTGGCTCAGCTCCCGGCAGAGCAACGAGAAGCGCTATGTCGGGTCCCTTTCCGAGCTCCCAAGTTGGAAAGACAACCCCCACATGCTGACTTGGGCTTTGGTGTGAGATGGCCCCAGGGGCAGGTCCCCTCTCCGCCACTTACTAACTGGGTGACCTCGGCAGGTCATGGCAACTGTCTGAGCCTCAGTTTCCTTATCTGTGAAATGGAGCTCGTAATTGCCAGTAATGGTGGGGCCAGCACTTTGTAGGCGCAACAGGGGAGAGGCAAGAGGTGCAGGTGCCCTACCCCAATCTGAAGTCATCAAAATGTGCTGCTCGCCACATCTCGGCCGAGGGAGGTAGAAGCTGCAATTAAATGTGGATCACTCTGGGCTGGAAACCTGTGTCGGGATGTCCCATTAGGAAGTCCCTGTGACCTGACGAGGCAGAGCAGGCTGTGTCCTGTCAGTCAGGTGGGTGTCCACAGGCGCCTGCTGGCGCACCAGCACAGCCACTACCCCGGTCCCAGTAGGTTATTGATGGCAATGGGCCAGGTTAGCCCAGTGACTGGACTGGGTGGTTTTGATTCCCTCCGGGACATCTGGCAACATCTAGAGACATTTTTGTCACAACTGGAGGCGGGGGTACTACTGGCATCTAGTGGGTGGAGGCAGGGATGCTGCTACACACCCTACAGTGCCCAGGACAACCCCATGTGGCAGAGAATTATCTACCCCACATGTCGGTAGTGACCAGAATAAAAGTCCTGGTGTGTGGACCCTTCTTGCTGCCCACAGAGGCCCTCAGATACAACAGTGATCATCGTGAACGTTTACTGGGCACGTTTCCATGTATTAGCTTCCTCTATGCCTGCAGCAATGCCATGAGTCAGTGAGGAGCCTGGGTTGCCTCATTGCTCATGCTGCGCTACAGTTAGCTGTGTCTGGGGAACCCCGGCTTTGGCTACTTGAGAATCGAGCCCCCTTTCCTGGTGCCTGAAGGCAGTCATAAGAGCCCTGCACTAAGATTCCAACTGACCGCTGTCAGAAACAGGCCTGAGCATGTGCGCTGTGCACCGCCCTTCAGGAAGGCAGGGGCTGCCCGTCACCACCCTGACCTCTGACCTCTGACCCCAGCAGCATTTCCCACACGGCCCCCTCGGGGGAAGAAGTATGAACAGAAATGCCCGGGGTGTTCTGACTGCTTCTGGGGCCCCCCCAAGAAGCTGGAATTTGGTCTGTAACAAACAGATGTATAACATATGCCGGGTCCGGAGCGATTCCCCTCAGGACTTCTCCTGAAGAAGTCCTGGTGCATGTTGGGATCATACGGGGAGCTTTAAAAATATACCATGTGCCAGAATGGAGAGCATGTTGGGGGTCGCAGGGGCAGGAGGGAGGGGTGTGGTCACAGAACGGCAGCCCCAGGGGTCGTCGTGGTGGTGGATGCCACCTATATGTGTGATAACAATTGTGTAGAAGTCACACACGCACACGCACACATGCACACGCACACATACTAGTACAGGGAAATCTGAGCAGGATCTGTGTATGGTACCAATGTCAGTATCCTGGTTGTGATACCACGCTAGCGTTTTTCAAGGTGTTACTTTTGGGGGAAATGGAAAAGGGTGCACAGGCATTCTGTGGATTATTTCTTAAAACTGCTGGTCAATCTACACTCATCTCAAAATAAAAGGGTTAATTTGGGAAAGTACACACACCATTGCCCTGCCACAGGGTTAATGACTTCATTGGCCTGTGGTGGAGCCTGGGTGTGGGCAGGTCTTGAGGTTCCCACATGGGTCCAATGGGCGGCCAGGGCTGAGAGCCACTGTCCCCTTTGGGTCCAGGATGGACAAGGCTGGACGGGCTCTGATCAGGCCGACCTCGGGGGTTGCTGCATCCTCCTGGGTCTGTGATGATCGTCCACTTTCCCTGCCATTTGCCACCCAATCCCGGAGAGCAGAGGGGTCTAGACTCTGCTGATGACCCCCAGGTCACTGGTATCTCCAGGGCATGGCACGTCTTTCCAGGTTGGTGTGGCGGGAGGGTTGAGGGGTCTGGTTCAGACCAGGCCTGACTCCTGTGCCAGCCTATAGAACAGGCCCTTCCGGGCCAGCAGCTGAGCAGGGCTGCCGCTCTCTGCCACCTGCCCTTTGTCCATGACCAGCACCCTGTGGGGGAGAGGGAGATAGGCAGCTCCTTGGACACCAGCCTGGTCCCTGGGCCGCTCGGAGAGCCCAGCATGCCTGCTCTGAGGTTTGCTCCCCAGAAGTCTGGCCTTCTGTGTGGTTTCCTGGTTGTAAGCATCTACTGGGCATATGTCCTTGGGCTCATCTCTTCCCCTTTGGGCATCAGTCTTGCCACCTGTACAATGGGCACCTGATAATCCATTCCATCACCTTTCCAGCTCTAAATTCGGATGCCTTCCTTCCCCACTGCAGGGTCCCTGGGGCCAGCGCCTTGGGGGGACTTACCTGGCACAGTCCATCACGGAGCGCAGGCGGTGGGCGATGAGCAGCACCGTGCAGTGGGCAAACCAGCTCTCAAGGGCGGCCTGCATCTGGAGCTCAGTCCCCGGGTCCACGGCGGCCGTGGCCTCGTCCAGGATGAGGATCTGGGTTTTCCGGAGAAGGGCACGTGCCAGACACAGCAGCTGCTTCTGGCCCAGGCTAGGAGGGAGTGGGACAGTCAGGCCAGATGTTTGTGTGTCTGCATGTCAGAGTTTGTAGGGCGTGCCCACAAATGCGTCTCCACAACAGCCACAGAAGTGGTGGCCCCAGCCCACAGAGCTGGTAGAAATCCCCGCCCTGCCATTTTTTGATCAGGTGACTTTAGGCAAGTCATTCGAACCCACCGTGCCTCAGTTTCCCTGGGAGGACGGGGAAATAGGGAATTGTTTAAAGAGTTTTTGAGTTTCAGTTTTGCAAGATGAAAAAGTTCTGGAGTTGGGTAGCACAGGATGTAAATGTGCTCAATGCTACTGAAGTATACACTTAAAAATGGGTAAGATGGTCAATTTTATGGTGTATTTTTTACTACATTTTAAAAAACGTTTTCAAAGGCATACTTGATACCCTCAGTGGGCATGGGTCCAGCACCCAATATCACACACGTTATTTCTATAGCAAAGTAGGTGCTGGGTGGGATAAACGCTAAACATAGTCTCGTATCAGCAGAGGTTGGGTTTTGCCACTAACTAAATTGGGAAACCGAATTTAGGAAAAAGAGACGTGATATTCAGAGACGGTGTTGGAGTTTGGAACTGCTGAAAAGGGATGGGGCTCCTACCGTGATTATTAATAGGATGGGGTTGATGGTCTATGGGGAAGGCACACTTCCAGGGCACACTGCCCCTGGGGAGAGCCGTGGCCACACGTGCCTCTCCCTCCAGCTCCCCTGAGGTCCAGGCTGTGGTGGGGCAACCCTACCTGAGGTCATCGCCTTGGTCGGCACACTCGTACTGCAGCTGGCCGGGCAGGCTGGCCACCAGGGCTCTGAGCTGCACCGTCTCCAGGGCCTGCCAGATGGCTTCGTCCGTGTGCTCCTGTAGCATGTCAAGGTTCCTCCTCAGAGAGCCGGGGAACAGGATGGGGTCCTGGCCAGGACGGGCAATGGGTCAGGCTGGCCCAGCCACGATCCCACCTCTGCCCACCCTGTCCCGAGGCCTCACCTGGAGGATGATGGTGATCCTAGACCGCAGCGTGTGCAGCCCCACATGGCTGATGGGGACCCCGTCGATCCAGACCTCACCCTCAGCTGCCTCCAGGAGCCGCAGCAGGCCCCCGGCCAGGGTGGACTTCCCGGCCCCCGTCCTGCCAACGATGCCCACCTGCCAGGGGATGAGAGGGCAAGGCCACTGTGACTAGGCCGGGTCAGAAGAAGGCGGGCACAGCCTAGGTTTCCTGGGCATCTCTTTGGGACATGTTTCCCCTGCACCCAAGATCCATCTGCCCACTACCCATCATCCTTTGAGCATCCATCCTTCCATCTACCCAACTTTCCCTATATCTGTCGTCGATCCACCCAACCTTCTGTCTGTATTCTTCTCTATCTTTCCCTCATCCCAACACATCTATCCTATCTTCCCAACTATTCCCACCACCTTCCTTCAATATCCGTACCCTCCTCTGTTTCTCCATTTCCCCCATCCTTCCGTCCACAGCCCTCCATCATCCCTCATTCTTCCTGCCAGCCCCATGTCATTTTATTCATGTCCCATCCTTCCATCTGTCCCTCATCCTTCCTTCTATCCATCTCTCATCCTTTCTCCCACGACCTCCTGTCCAGCCATCCATCCCCATCCTTCCATCCATCTCTCCATCCTTTGATCTGTCCCCCATCTACCCTTTCATTCTTATCTTTCTTGCTGACTGTTGCATGCTCAGTGTCTGACACATGGTGGGGGGTCGACACTATTTGTTTAATAAATGAATAAAATGTGTCGCCCCACTGTATGACAGCCACCCTCTTAGACACCAGCATAAAAATAAAGAGTCCTTGCGCCAAAGGACTGTGTGCTCTCAAAAGGAGGGCGACTGAGTAAACTTAATTTTAATAAAGTGTGATGATCACTCTCTACCATCAAGCTCCGGACCTGTAGCAATGGAGGTAAGCCAGGAGGTAAGCTGTTCCTATTCCCTTGGATAGGGGTTGATGAGGTAATCAGAGAAGGCTTCATGGAGGAGGGGTACTTGAGTGGGATATTGAAAGGCAAGCAGTTCAGAGAGGGGGCAGGTTCCAGGTAAACCACAGTGCTAGATTGAAAGCTCCCTGAGCTCCCAGAGGCAGCTGTTCCACAAACGTGGACTAAGCCCCGGCAGGGCACTGAATGCAGCATAGAGCTGGGCAGCACCTTGACTGCCAAGCTCAGGAGTTTGGGCTTTGCCCTGAAGGAAGCCTGGAGCAGGTGGAAGGTCTTGAGCTGGGGAAAGACATGCTCAAATAAAGGTCACAGGCGAACAGAAATAGGCTGAGGGCTCAGATGGGGGCCTGGGGCCATCAGGGGGAGGGCAAGGAGGGCTTCAGGGAGGAAGTGTCGCAGGGTGGGAAGGGAGAAGAGGGATTCAGTGAAGGAGCCTAACGGGATAAATGGGACAATACTAGCGCCTTCCTCATAGGGCTGTTGTCAGAGTGAAAATGCAAATGCTAATGAATGAAAGCACCGGTAAACATTTCTGAGGCATGTGCTCTGTTCCAGGCACTGTTCCAGGCAGTTACACTTCAAAACACCACTATGTGACATTGACATTGGCATTCCCATTTACAGGTGGGAAAACTGACTCATGAAGTAACTTGCCCGAGGTGAGCCTTGGCAGAGCCAGGATCTGAGCCCTGAAACTGGATGAAGTATGTGGAGCATTTAGCACTTTGCCCGATAGTTCAACTGATGTTCAAGAAAGAAGAAAAGGGAAGCTGGGGAGATGCCGCCTCTGGGACCTCACGGTGGGTGGGTGGGTGGGTGGGTGAGTTCCCCCTGGTGGAGTCAGGTTTGGTGAGATAAGTTCAACTTAGGGTGTGGTGGGCCTGAAGATGAGGTGCCCCGGGGTGGGGATGTGGAACGGGAAGGTGCTCAGGGCCTGAGCCCTGGGGAGATGCCCAGCCTGGCCACGGCCCCGAGTCCTCCCCAGCTGCCCTGTGGCCTGGCTTCCATGAGGAAGAAGGTCTGGAAGCGCTGCTCACCTTCTCTCCTGCGTGGATCTTGAACGACACATCCCGCACGGCCAGCGGGAGCTCGGGCCGGTGTCTCAGCCCCAAGTCCCGGAACTCGATTTGGCCCCCACAAGGCCAGGGGGGCTGGGTTTCACAGGTGGGCAGTGTCCAGGGCGCCTGGGGCAGAAGGGGACACTGAGTTAGAGGAGCCGTTCTCTGAGGCTTCTCACAAAAGGTCTACCTATTTGAGCCTCGGTTTCCTCTTCTGTAAAATGGGCATGTTTACTGCTATTTTATAGGGACGTGGAACATAGCAAAGCTAAAAACAAATATCTGGTAGCGTAAAAATGATGGTGTTGGCTGTTCTTTATCTTTTTAAATTATTATTAGCCACTGTTAATTGTCAAATAATATTCTCTCTTCCTCTAGTAGGGTAGGTCCTCTTTTTGCCTTTGAGAAGAGGGCAGGTCTGTGCAGCAGGGAGTCCAATGCTGCCATTGGTATCCCTGCGACCTTGAACAGGTCACTCCACCCTCTTGAGTCTCAGTTTCCCCATCTGTGAAATGGGGCTAATGAGAGCAGTGGGCGTGTATTGCTTGTTTATGTGGCGCCAGACCCTGCACTAAGTAAGCCCTTTATTGTGGGATCTCACTTGACCCTCCCAGTGTACCCAGCGTTGTTAGTGGCTGGTGGCTCTTCTGTCCCTGTAATGTCGCTCTCATGTGCCGTTACCTGGCGGTGGCATTCCTGTTCCTCCTGTCCCCTGTCACTCAGAAGAAGGACCTGCTTGCCCAGTCGAGGAAGCAAAGGACCCAGGATCTGACTTGGCTCCAGACCCCATGCTCTTAACCATTACCGTGGCCCTGGCTGGGACTCCGGCCTACAGTGGTGGGGGCTCCAAAGCCCACGGCAGACGGCCACCTGGTCCACTGACCTCTGCTGTAAGTCCCAGGTGGGGCAGACCCTCCACCCCCACTGCCCCCCACCTCCTTGGGTGTCCGAGTGTAGTCCTGCATCCGCTCCACCGACACGATGCTGCTCTCCAGGTCTGTCCAGCTGCGAACAGCCCACTGCAGCGTCTGGGTCACCTGGTGGGAGAAGACACCTCGGATTGGCTTGAGTAAAACCACCCCACAGGTTTGCATCAGCTCCCCCGAGGCAGGGGCTGGGAGGCAGGCCTCGGGCAGATAAGGGGACTGGACTTGACTGCAGCCTCCAGGACTCCCCTCTCCTTTCGGTAGAACCAGAGCATGCAGAGCAGAAAGGAGCCCTCAGACCTCAGCTTGTCCACCTTGTCTTGATACAGGTGGTGGGGAGACAGGACCAGAGAGGGTGCATGGCCCTCCCAGGAACACCCAGTAGGACCCAGGCCCCGCTGACTTCTGTTCTGAGAGGTTTTCCTCCCCGATTGCTCATCACACTTGGAACCATGGGCAGCTTCTCACCAGGGCCCACCCTCCTCTCTCCAAACTCATTTCCCTCCAATCTCACCCTCGCCCACACTCTCCAGCCATACCACCTGCTTGCTGTTCCTCTAGCACACCAGTCACGCCCCCCGCCCCCCTCCATCCCAGGGCCTTTCCTCCTGCTGGTCCCTTCCCCAAGAAAGCTCCCTCCCTTCCTCCCTCCCTCCCTCCCTCCCCTCTTTCCTCTGGGCCACAGCTCACAAGCCCCCTCCACAGAGAGGCCTTCTGGGCCAAGCAGTAGAGGAATACACACCCACCAAGCTTTGACCTCTCACCTTGCTTTATGCTTACGCTTAGTTGCCTCAACTGTAAAATGGGGATAATAATATAACCCCTGATGGGGTTGGGGGCACGATTAAATGAGTTAATGTTTATAAAGCTCTTAGAACAATGCCTCATTCATAATGAATGTTACTTATAAGTATATTTTTCCCTTCACAGATGTCATGACCTGACATCAAATATTGTTATTAATAGATAACAAAAAGTTAACAATGCACTGGGATGCACTTTATATACTTTATCTCAACTAGTGGAGGGATTAATACCCCATTTTTCAGATGAGCTCACTGAGGCTCGGAGACGGAAGACTCTTGCTCAAGGTCCAGCAGGGTCACCTCAGCTAAGCTCTTGTAAGAGCCTTATTTTCCTCACTGCTTGGTAGTTTGGACTTGGGTCCTTGAAGGTCCCCCTTACATGGATCTGTCTGTCTCTGTTCTGCCTGCTCCTTGGGATCAGGTTGGGGTGTCAGGAGTACCTGGAGGGCGGCGGAGACGGAGAAGCCCACGAGGCCAGCGCTGAGATGGGCCTTGCTCAGCACAGCACACGTGGCAGCGGCAAACACCAGCCCGTTCCCCAGGAGCTCCAGGTTGGCAGCGAGCCACCTGAAAGGGGGTGCAGGTACAAGCAGGGTCAGCGGGGGCCCTCTCTGTGGGACCTGCTCCTCTGGGCACAAGGTCTGATCATGGTGCCGGCTCGAGTGCCCATGGGGGTCCTGACCACGGCCTCCTCCACACCCAGGCCCCACCCAAGCTCAGTGGGTGGGGAATTGACGCTGTCTCACCTGTGCCCAGCCCAGGGCTCGGCGCACGGTAGGTGCTCTAGTTAAGCTTTGCCATGCTGCCAATATTCTGTGTTTGGGATACGCCAAGTCATATACCCTTGTGTTTTCCGGACTAAACCCAGTCTCCATGCTCACGTGGCCACCATCTTATGTTCATGCACAGGTCAGCTTGAACATCACCTCCTCAGAGAGCCTTCCAGGACTGCTCCTCCTTTTCTCTCCAACATAGCACTGATAACTTCCTTCATGACAGTCGTCATTCTTCATAATTCAACTACTTAATCAGTCCCTGACTCTCAGTCTCCACCAGGAGATCAGGAGCTCTGCGAAGGCAGTGGCTTGGTCTCCTTCATGCTCTGTCCCCAGTACCTAGCATAGGACCCAGCCCAGAGTAGGTGCTCGACAGATATATGCTGAATGGATGAATAAATGCACACCCCCTTGTATTGAATTCCTACTCTACCATTCATTCATTCATTCATTCATTAGCAGATGTGTATTGAGCACCTACTGTGTGCTACGCATATTGGAGGTGCTGGGGATACAACCATGAACCAAACAAATAAAAATCCCTGTCTTTAGGGAACTCTGGGCTTTCTACATATAACACCAAGTCCTCCCAACAACCCCACAAAGTGGGTGGTTGTTTTCCCCATTTGACAGCTGAGGACGCTGAGGCTCAGAAGGGTAAGGTACTTGCTTAAGTCCAGACACATAACAAACATCAGGATTTGAGGCCACATCTGTCTGAATGATGCCAGAAAGCACATACCCTTTCCAACAGGTCATTTTTCTCAATGAACCAACTAACAAATGAATGAACAAAGACCCACCTAGGGTCTCCCCCTCCCTAGACCTTGGGGAAACCCTTCACTTCTTTGAACCTCGGTTTACCCATCTATGGAGTGAAGTAACATCTGATTCATTACAGCTGAGAGGTTTCAGTGAGATGTGCTATATATAGCATGGAAATCACTGAGGCTTGCACATGGTAGGTGCTTTCTAAATGTTCATAAGGTTCCTCCTCCCTAGGCCAGGACTCCAGGAAGGGGCAAGGCAGGTTACCCAAAAGGCATATGGCATTGAGACACTGCTCACAGCTACAGGGCCTCATCGCCCCAGCTGACTAGGGAGCTGGCAAAAGGGGGAAAAGAATTCACATTTATTGAGCACCTAATCAATAAATTGTGCGCTTCACTCTCTATATTCTGGTACCAGACTCCTTGGGTTCAAATCCTGGTTCTACCACATATTCACTGTGTGACCCTGGGCAGTTCCTACATCTCTCTCTGCCTAAGATTCACCATGTATAAAACAGTCTCTGCCTCACTGGGTTACTAATAGGATTAAGTTAATTGAGCCATGTAGAGTGGCTCATAATAAGCATGTTACAGGTATTAGCTATGAGTGTATTTATTTAATCCGCATCGCCACTCTATGAGTGCAATCCCACTTGGACAAACGAGGCTCAGAGAAGTTATATAATGTGCCCAAGAACACCCAGCTCGTAAGCGGCAGAGCTGGGATTTGAACCTGTGTCTGTCTGTGCTCAAAGCTTGTGTTCTGATTCTTGCTTAGTACTGAGAAGAGGCCGAGGATGCTTATGTTGCTGCCTTGTCACCAAGGCAACAGAGGTGTCTTCCCTTTTGCTGACATCTGTGCCTCCTTGCCCACCTGCTATTGGGAACCCCTCAGGCTAGCTTCCATCCACTCACAGCGTAAGCCAAGTACATCATCCATGGGACCTAGCCTCAGCTTCATCCCCAGGGCGCTGTGACCTTGGGCAGGCCACTCTACCTCTCTGGCCACACAATATGATACGCTCTGGGGACACAAATGGATTGCAAGGTCTTCTCTGCTCCCTTCCTACCTGTCAGCCACCAGCCGTAGGAAACTGACTCGCTGGCTTTCATCCATGTAGGCATTGTTCTGAGCCACGAAGGGGCCCTGGGCCCGGAAGGCCCTGACCACTGCGCCGCCCTGGAATGTCTCCGCCACGTGGGAACACACGAAGGAGTGCCTGGCTGACTCCATGCGTCTGAGCTGGCACGAAGTGGCTACATACAGGCTCTGAAAGTCGGGGGGGGGGGGGGGGGGGGAGAGGGGTAGGTGGGAAGGGGAGAAGTCACAGACACAGAGAGGTGGTTTGAGAAGCTCAGGGAATCCCAAGTACTGTTACTAGTTTGCTGTGTGACCTTGGGCCAGTTGCTTTCCCTCTCTGGACTCCAATTTCCTTGCAAAATCAGAGTTCCATAGTTCTTTTTAAAATCACAGGGGATGATTCAAAAACCTCCAGTGTCCCAACCCAGACCTGTTCAATCAGACCTCTGGTGGTGTCACCCAGGCCTTGGTATGTTTAAAACTCCTTCCTGGTAATTCTACTGTACAACCAGGATTGAGAAACCACTAATCTGGTGTAAATGTCTCATTCCCAGCTCTAAGGCCAACTGCTTTACTTAGGGCCAGTACCCGTGGGAACAAAACCATAAAGGGCAAGGAAGGCAGTCGGCCAAGTGGAACTCATTTCTTTAACTCTAGGGTTAGCATACATGCCAGGGGCTGGGAACATAATGATGCACAGATAGGAGGTGCTGTTCATTGGTTTGAGGTTGCAAGTATGTACAGCTGGCACGGGGGAACGTGCGTTTGCTGAACACCCGGGCTGCTTACCAGGCTCTTTTCAAACAGTATTCAGTAATCGTGAGGTGGGCATTAGTGGCATTCACAGTTTACAGGTGAGCACACCTGAGGCTCAGAGCAATTGGTCTGAACCTCTATATCCAGCACGTGGCCGGGCCTGAATTCAAACCCACCTCTACCTGACTCCCAAGCTCTTGATGGATAAGTAGTCCCTCCCCAAGTCAAGAGGACGTAGAGAAGACCTGGGACCATTGTGGAGGACAGTGGTGGCCATGGTTTTTGTCTGACTATCATGGTTGTTTCTACTCTACTTCTGATATTTTTTTTTTTTTTTGAGGGAAGTGGCTGTCAATTGTGGGACCTGATTGTAGAGGTGGTCACATGATACAACCCAACCAGTCAGACTAAACTCTCCCTTTGGTCACAGTGATTAGTTCAGGGATAAACACATGCTCCATAAATGGCCAATCAGAATCTTCCCTGGGATTGATATACGAACACTGAGCTGGAGTAAAGGATGTTTTTGTGTTGGGGTTGCTAAGGTGGGATGCTATGAGTATAAGGTTGCAAGGGACCATCAAATCTGACCCCTGGAAAGAGAGTGTGTGCAAAATTGGGCCAAGCAGAGCTAAGTCAGTGGTTCTTAAACATCTGAATGTATCAGAATTACCTGGAGAGTTTATTAAAACCCAGATTTCTGGGCCCAACTCCCATAGAGTCAGTAGGTTGTGGGTAGGGCCTGAGAATGTACATTTCTAACCGGCTCCCAGGGCCACACTTTGAGAACCATAGAGCCTCTGGAAGAGCAGGAGCCTCCAGAAGAGTGTTCTGGATGCCCAGATCCCCCCTAGCAGCACTGTGGCTGTGGAGGCAAGCAGCCCTATAGCTGCGGAAAGAGAGGGTGTCAGAGCATGAGGGCTGGGGACCCTCACCCCCACCTATGGTGGCCAGCTCATGATTTGGCCACAGAGTGACTGCATCCTGGTGGCAGCTGGCCAGCGCAACTACTGCACGTAAGCCATCAAATTCTGTTCATCTGTTTAAGCTCATTTAAGTTGGTCTCTGGCAACTGAAAGAGGCTAGTCTAATGCAGTCTTTGAGACCTTGCAATGCCTTTTTGGTTTCCAAATATTTGGAGAGGAGGAAGCGCATTTCAGCAGCAGCAGGACAAAATGTCAGCTATGAAGCACTTCCATGTGAACATTTGGGAGACACAGATAAGAACAGGTGTTAGAAACAGGCTGGTGTCTCTGCCTCTGGGAAGTCTTCAGGGGTGGCCCCAGCTGCCCAGCTGGGCAGAACCTGTTACACGGACTCCTGCCCAGGAACAGGGGCCTGGCTGAGGTGACCTCAGCTGGCCACAGGAGCCTGCCCAGCCTCTCCCTACCTGAAACCAAGTGTAGAGGAGCAGCAATGGCAGGATGGCCACAGCAGCCAGCGGGGTGGCCACCGTTACCACCAGGGTGACCTCCAGGAGTCCGAAGGTGTAAATCAGCAAGGACCGGAGTTTGTCTGGGATGTCCACGTCTATGGTGTCTGTCTCCTTGGAGAAGCGGTTCAGCAGGTTCCCCATGGGCGTCCGCTCGAAGAAACCAATGGGAGACCGCGCCACATCCCACAGGAGCCTCCGGAAGAGCCGGCTGGATGCCCGGATGCCCCCTAGGAGCACTGTGGTCGTGGAGGCAAGCAGCCCTATAGCTGCGGAAAGAGAGGGTGTCAGAGCATGAGGGCTGGGGACCCTCACCCCCACCCATGGTGGCCAGCTCATGACTTGGCCACCCTGATGATCCCTTGACGGAATCACTCTCCACCAGGCACCTCGGAGTGTGATCTTATTTGGATCTTTGCAGATGTTATTAGTGAAAGATCTTGAGATAAAATCATTCCGGATTTAGGGTGGGTTCTAAATCCAATGACTAGTGTCCCTTTAAGAAGAGGAGCACCGCCCACCTGGCTCAGTGGTTGAGCATCAATCTATGAATCAGGAGGTCAGGGTTTGATTCCCGGTCAGGGCACATGTCTGGGTTGTGGGCTTGATCCCCAGTGTGGGGTGTGCAGGAGGCAGCTGATCAATGATTCTCTCTCATCATTGATGTTTTTAGCTCTCTCTCCCTCTCCCTTCCTCTCTGAGATCAATAAAAATCTATTTTTTTTAAAAAAGAAGAGGAGAAGCCACACAGAGACACGGATGGGGATGTGAAGACAGAGGCAGAGACTGGGGTGACCTGCTACAAGCTAAGGAACACCAGGACGGCCAGTGACCAGCAGGAACTAAGAGGCACGGGACGGATCCTCCTTCAGAGCCTCCAGGAGGAACCAATCCTGCCGACTCCTGGATTTTGGACCTCTGGACTCAGGACTGTGAGACAATTTCTGTTCTTCTAAGCTACCAAGGTTGCGGTCATTTGCTTTATGGTAGCCCTCAGATACATACACTCCCTTCCTCCCATGCCAAGCTATGGGCTTGGGATGGGGCTAACTTCACTCCCTGTTTCTGGGGTGGGGCAAATTTCATTCCTGGCCAACCCAAACCACTGCAGTAGGTTCAGAGATGAACACGTGACCCAACACGGGCCAATGAGAGTGAGACCTGGGACTTTGATGGAGCTGTGGCATACCATCTCATCACTAGGGGGAGAAGCCTGCCTGGACAGGACGCTATCACAGAGGAAGAAAGTGAAGCCATTCCTACAGCTTCATTGGATCCCTGGATTCAGCCATACCTGAAGCTACTTATCTATGGATTCCAGTCCTATACCAGGTAAGGCAATAAATTTTCTTGTTGCTTAAACTAGATATATATTCATATAGTTAGTATACAGGGTGTCCCCAAAAATGTATACACACTTTGAATAATTAATAATTCCGATGGGTGCCATCTGAAAAAGAAACATCAATGGAGCAATCAGCTGTCAAGTGTGTATATTTTTGGGGGGACACCCTCTATTATTGCTATATAGTTAGTATTGTTATTATTTTCAAATGGAGCAGACCTCAGACTAAGGAAAGTCATCAGGGAAAAAGAGGGGAATTACATAATGATAATGGGTCCATTCTCCAAGATGACAACAGTTCTTAACGTGTTTGTCCCTAACAACAGGGCATCAAAAAACACGAAGCTCATCTGAAGGGGTGGGGGTGGGGGTGCTGACAGTCCCCAGCACTCAGACCTTGGCTTGCCCTCTGTGCTGGGGTGGGGGGAGAGGCGGAGCCAGCTGAATTGCCGTGTCTGCCCCCACCTAAGTGCTCAGCTGCCCCAACATTTGGAGGTCGTCAGTCTGCATTTGCCAGTGAGTCTAGCAGAGACTCTGAAGGTTCCAGAAAGGGAGGGATGTGCCTGTCCCCACCTCCCATCTTAAGGATGCGGGTCTGGGCTTGGACCTAGGATACTTGCACAGATCTTCAGGGAGAACAGTGATCCAGGGATGGGAGGGCCAGGGAGCCCTGAGCACCTCGGATGGGGATGAGGATGGAGGGTGAGGAAGGCCAGTGAGGGGTACCTTGGAGGCATCCCAGGAGCCCGAAGACCCAGCCTCGCAGGGCCGCCTGTGTCTGCCGCCCATCCACGGTGGGGTCGTCCACCCACAGGCTGAGCCAGTAGCCGCGGCAGAAGGAGGCCACTTGCTGGCAGAAGAAGAGGAACAGTGCGTAGAGGCAGAGTGGGGTGTCCACGGCCCGTATGTAGCTCAGGTACAGGGCGGCCTTCACCTGTAGCACACGTAGGAAACATGCCCAGGGGAGGGGAGAGAGGAAAAGCAGATGAGGCTCCCAAAACACGCCACTAGGGCCGATGGAACCACCGTGCAGACCTCACAGGTCCTCTCTCAGTACCTCCCACCTGGAGCACCATCTCCCCGGCAGGCCCCACCCAGCCTCAGGGCCCCCTTCCTCTACAGAACGCCAGAGGGCCGGTGGAGCCTTCAGAGTGACAGGCTGTGGCACTGCCTGGCTTTGGAGTGATTTATTGAACACCTACTATGGGACAGGCATGTGTCTCTATCGTCATCTGACAGATAAGGAAAGTGAGGCACAGACAGGTTAAGCCACTTGATGAAAGTCCACCCCCTACCAACCTGAAGTTCTCCACACAGCTGCAGCCGGAGTGAACTTTTGAAAATATCAGCCTGGCCTGATCTTGCTGTTGCTGACCGGCACACGGTTTTCTCTTGCTCTCAGAAGAAATTGCAGACTTCCTGTACCCCTCTCTGACTTTACCCCCCACTCACTATCTGCTGATTTCTTGGGATCCCTTTCTTTGCTCCTTCCCACCTCAGAGCCTTTGTACCTGCTGTTCCCTCTGCCCAGAATGCTGTTCCCTCTGCTCCTTCCAGGGCTTGTTCCTTTGCATCCCTCAGGGTTCAGCTCAAATGCTACTCTGGGAGCGTCCTATCCAAGCGGGCCCCTGTTGGTTGGTTGCCATCTTATTGCCCTTCTGTATTGTCTTGTAGCATTTATCATTATCTGATATCACCTTGCTTGTTAGCTTAATTAGTTGCTGACTGTCTCCCCCCACTAGCAAGCAATCTCCGCCTGGGCAGACACTTTACCTGGCACATAATGGGGGCTCTGGAATGTTTGCTGGGTGGATGAGTGTGTGGATGGTTGGGTGGGATAATGGGTGGTTGGGCGAATGGGTAAATGAATGGATATATGAGTTGATGGATGAATAAATGAGTGGGTCTGTAGGTGGGTGGGGATGGATGGATGGAAGGGTGGATGGACGAGAGGATAGATAAATGGGTGGATGGATCGGTGGGTAGATGGAAGATAGGTAAGTGGATGGGTGGGTGAATGGATGAATAGATAGGCGGTTGGAAGGTTGGATGTAATGAATAGATGAGTGAGTAGATGGATAGATGGAGGGATGGGTGAATAGGACAGATGGGGTGGGTAGATGGGTGAATGGGTGGAAAGGTGGACAGGTGGATGAATGAATGAGTAGGTATGTGAGTGGGTGGGTGGAGAAACTAGCAGAGAAGGAATAGTACAAGCTCCAGCTTAGGAATGACCTAGATTTGAGTCCAAGTTCGTCACTTGCTAGCTATGAGAACACAGAGAAGCCTCCCAACTCTTTAAAACCTCAGTTCCTTCACCTCTAAAATGGAGTCATCGCCATCTAATTTTATTTATTTATTTTTAAAAATATTTTTCTTGATTTTAGAGAGAGGAAGGGAGAGGGAGGGAGAGATGGAAACATCAATGATGAGAGAGAATCATCGATTGGCTTCCTCCTGCATGCCCCCTACTGGGAATCCAGCCCGCAACCCAAGCATGTGCCCTCAATCAAAATCGAACCCGGGACCCTTCAGTCCACAGGCTGACGCTCTATTTATTGACCCAAACCGGATAGGACATCTCCATCTAATTTCAGAGTGCTTGTGAACATTAAGAAATAGGAAGTGCCTAGAATCTTACTTGGCACATAGTAGATGTTCAATACAGGTGACTGCCTCCCCCCGCCCAGGGCTCTATCTGGTGGCAGGTCTTGAGCCCCGGCGGGCAGCAGTAGCAGTGGAAGTGGAGGGCAGGGAGCAGCGGATGCTTACCTTGCCATACTGCACGCTGTCCCCTCCTGCAGGCAGTCCTGCCTTCTCAGGGTCATCTAGGGGAACCTTTGTCTGGGCCTCCAAAGTGGTGCTGTCCTCAGGGATACACTTCATGGACCTGTTACTTAGAGGAAATGCGGACAAATTAGTCTCTCTTCCTGGGGGGTGTGTGTGCCCAACCGCCATGGCCACTGATAGAACACTGAGCTCCGGGGTACACTCTTCATTCATTCATTCATTCATTCACTCATGCATACATTCATTCAATCAACACACTGAGTTCCGAGTAGGTGCCATGCTGTGCCCTCCCTCTGTAGTGCCCAACTAAATGCCATCTATTACCCCAGCGTCGAACAAGCCCATTGTTTCAATACCCTTTCACTGGATGAACTTATTTGCCCAACCTCAGAACTTGGTTTTCAGAGGGTTTTTTTTTTTTTTTTGGCCTAAGCTTTGCTGCAATCATTTTGCCCCTGCTGTTTACCCTCAGATTTGTCATTCTAGGTTGGCAGAATGTCAATTCTGCACAATTCACTTGTTGAAGATTTCTTTATGTTCCTTTCATCTATGAATGAGTGGGCTGACTTCACCTTAAATGTGAAACCATGGGCAGCTGACTTAACCTCTCTGTGACTCAGTTTCCTCAGCTGTAAAATGGGGATAATCTATCTCTCTGTCTTTCATCTACTAACTAATCTGTTATCTATCTATCCATCTACAAATTACCTATCTTTTTTATCATACATCAACTAATCTATCACTGATCCATCTATCATTTATCAATCTATCATTTGTCTATCTAAATCTATCATCTGTCTACATATTCACCTATTTATATCTATACATCTATCTCTATATCTATTCATCCATATATACTGTCAAATCAATGTATCTCCTATCAATCTATCTACCATCTATCCATCCTTTATCTATCTATCTATCTATCTATCTATCTATATATCTATCTATCTTTCTATCTATCATCTATATACACTGAGTGGCCAGATTATTATGACCAGCCAGATTATTATGACCGGCCAGATTATTATGACCACCCCATCAGTACTTCATTGACACTTCCAAAAATACTGAATATTGAAAACCTCCTAAGCAAATACTCTCACGGTCTTATTATTATTATTATTTGTGTAACTAATTCACTTCATTGTACTGATGGGGTGGTCATAATAATCTGGCCACTCAGTGTATTTGCACTTGAAGGCAAATTGGTCATTCTGTGAACTGGGCATTTGGGGACTTAATCACTTTGGCCATGTGTTTGTCAAACACCTTTTGGTGAGTTATCCCACAGTCGCGCACCATGGTGGGTGCTCAGTAGGTGTTCGCTCCAGAACAGTTTTGGCTGCACCCACCTGCCTGAGCCGCAGGTGGTCTTCAGCCTCCGCCTGTGCCCTCCCTGTGCTCAGGACCACAATGAACTCACCTCTCTGGTCCACCCATGGGCTTCCCGCCTCCAGCAGAGCCTCTGGGGTCCTCAATGCTGGTCGCGAGTTCTGTGTCTGCAAGGTCAAGGGAGTCCTGTCACACAGTGGGGTCAAGACCCTGGAGTCCGGATGCTGACACCCACTGGCTGTATGGCCTTCACTTGTCTGAGCACCCGTGTCCTCTGCTCTGGCCCCTGCAACCTCTGGCAGTCCTCCCAGGGTTCTCAGGAACGTTATCCATTCATTCACGCACTCCTTCATTTACTCAGTAAATATAATCGAGCCCCTGCTATGGACTTGGGGCTGGAAAACATCAGTAAACATGGCCATGGCCACACTGCTCCGCGTTCCCCCGACACCCTTGCACAAGCAGTTCACTGTGGCTGGAATGTTCTTTTCCAACTTTTATCCAAGCTTAGGTGTCATCTTCCCCAGGGAGGGCCCTGGTCCCCCCCCCATGCCCCTGGCCTGGGCAGGGTCCATCCTCAGCTCCAGGACAGTGACACTGTGAATCTCCACCAACGCTCAACAGATATTTTCAGAGGAGACAGAGCCTGGGGCTGGGGCACCTGGGTGTGAGTTCCCGCTTTGTCATGGAGGGGCAGTATACAGCCGAGGGGCGAAACACCACATGCTCTCGGTCAAGTTGTTTGGGTTCAAATCCCAGTACCGCCACTTCGAAGCCATGTTACCTCGGGCCAGTTCCTTATTCTGGGCCTTAGTCTCCTCATCTGTAAAATGGAGGTAATTAAGGTGCTGACCTAACAGAGGCATAGAGACGAGTAAATGCGTCAGTGGAGGTGAGGAGCCGGGGGCTGTTCCCCAACGCTCACTCTGGGTGAGCTCGGGCTGGTGACTTCGCTTCCAGAACATCATCATTTTCCCAGCAGGCACTGTGCTCTTTGGATCATGAGAAGCCCTAGCTAGCGTGGCCTGGGTCACCTGGCCTCTAGGCACCAAGTGAACTTGCTCAGTTTCTGTAGCAGTTACGGGCGTAAACTCAAATTCTAATCTTGTGACCTTGGGCAAATTATTAATTCTCTTTGTCTCAATTTGCTCACCTGTGCAATGGCAGCAAGAATTGCATGTGCCTCAAAGGGGTGTTGTGAAGATCAAATTAGATACTGTATGTTTATTTATTTTTTAAATTTATTGATTTCTGAGAGGAAGAGAGAGAGAGAGAAAGAGAGAGAGAGAGAGAGAGAGAAACATCAACGATGAGAGAGAATCATTGATTGGCTGCCTCCTGCACGCCCCACACTGAGGATCGAGCCCACAACCCGGGTATGTGCCCTGACCGGGAATTGAACCGTGACCTCCTGGTTCATAGGTCGTTGCTCAACCACTGAGCCACACTGTCTGGGCTAAATACTGTATGTTTGAAGATACACTTAACACAGCCACTGTCTCAGGCCAGGACTTGCAGGGAGAGTGCGGCCAGAGCAATCCACTCATGCCAGTGGGATCCTTGATAGGAGCCAGGCACAGAGAACCAGCAAAGCCCAGTCAGTACCTCCTTCTCCTCTACCTCCTGGCTGTCTGGCTCGATCCAGAAGGTTCACCAGGGCCCCCTTCCTGTTCAGAAGCTCCTGGTAGGAACCCATCTCTGCAATGGCCCCCTCTTCCAGCACCACGATCCAATCAGCCTGGGGCAGGACTTGGAGTGCGTGGGTCACGAGAATCCGTGTCTGGGCAGGGAAGGGGTGGGAGTTACACTCGGGTGCTTGACCAGTCTTCCAAAGCCTGGGGCTCAGAGGGGGGCAAGTTCCCCCTTCCCGAGCTCCTGCCCTTTCTCTCTCAAACAGCAGTGTCACAATACAGATATGCAGGGGCTCCTTCAACCTATGTCTCAAAACAAGCAGCTCACCTGAACCCAGTGACCTGAGGGAGGGAGGCAGAGCTGCAGCAGTTTAACCACACACCCATAAGCCAAAAGTCACTGCTGTTGTAAGCCACTGAGGCTCGGGGGGGTTGTTTGTTATGTAGCATTGTCAAGAAAAAGCTGGCCATTACAAAGAGAAAAATTGGACTCAAGGAGGGTGGTGGTGAGATAGACTTGGGTTATGCTTTCTCTGCCTTTGCCCTGTGCCCTCTCATACATTTCCCCAAACTTACCGTTCCCTGGAGCAGCCCGTTGGGCCCGATGACCTGATTGAAGATGTGCTGGCCGACATGAGCATCCAGGGATGCCAGGGGGTCATCCAGCAGGTATACAGCAGCCTTCCTATACACGGCCCGGGCCAGGCTCACCCGCTGCTTCTGGCCCCCAGAGAGATTCATGCCCTGTGGCCACAAGAGAGGGATGAGGCTGGGTGAGGCTGTTACGACGGGGCCACGTCTGCTTATCAGAATGAGGGACAGCTCACTGTGCCTGTCCTCCAGGGCCACCTCCCAGCTGTCACACTTGCATTCAAACCAATGCTCCTCCACCTCCGGGCTTTACCCGGCCTCCCTCTCCCCCTTCCAGTCAAGCTTTCCGGAGGAGTTGTCTGCACTCTCCACAGCTCTCTCTCCTCCCACTCACTTCCGCCTCCACTTGGATCTGCCTTCTGTTCCCATTTTCTCCGCCAATACTGCCTTCCTCAAGGACACCAGTCATCATTTGCCTGTTGCCTAATCCAGTGGCAGCTTTTCAGTCCTTATTTTCATTCATTCACTCATTCCACTCATATGTACTGCAAGGCTACGTTATACCAGCAGTGTTCTAGGCTTTGGGACACAGCAATGAACAAAGCCCAGCCCCTGCTCCCATGGATCTTTCATTCTAATGAGGGTGGGGGTGGGAGACAGATATTCAATAAGCAGATGAGTAAGATGTATCACCTATCAGATGGTGTCATGTGCTATGAAGAATAATAAAGCAGGGGAAGGGCCTAGGGTGTACAGTGTGAGCAGGGTTGCTGTGCAGGGTTAGGTGGTCAGAGAAGGTCCCTCCATGAAGAAAACATGTAAGTCGAGGCCGGTAAAAGTGAGGAATGGAGCATGTGGACTCCTGAGAAAGAACTGTACAAGCAGAACAGCAGGTGCAAAGGCCCTAATGCAGCGGTGCTCAGCCTGTGGGTCGCGACCCTTTTGGCAGTTGAATGACCCTTTCACAGGGGTCGCCTAAGACCATCCTGCATCTCAGATATTTACATGACGATTCATAACAGTAGCAACATGACAGTTATGAAGTAGCAACGAAAATAATTTTATGGTTGGGTCACAACAGGAGGAACTGTACTGAAAGGGCCAGAAGGTTGAGAACCACTGCAATGTGAGAGTGTGCTTTGGGTGTTCAAGGAACATCGTGGAGAACCATGTGGCTGGAGTGGAGCATGATGGGAGATGGGGCCAGAGAGATGACTGGGGCCAGACTGAGGGGGAGCCTTGTCAGTGATGGTCAGGGGTTCGACTTTGACTCTGAGTGGAGATACCCTGGAGGATGCCAAGCAGAGAAGGGGCATGATCTGACCTACGTTTAGCTGCTGGGATTTGAGGACAGAAACAAGGAGGGCAGCCAGGGGGCGCTGCAGGAACGCGAGGGAGAGCTGATGGTAGATGGGACCAGAACATTCTGGGTCTGCCTCGATGGTGGACCCAACAAGACTAGCCGATGGATTAGATGAGGGTATAAGAAAAAGAGGGGAATCAAGGGTAACACAAAGGTTTTGGATCTGAGCTCTGGAAGGACGGGGCTTCTGTGCCCTGGGACGGGCATCCCATCAGAAAGGATGGGACACAGCTGGACAGACAGAGGCCAGCAAGCACCCCTTGCTTCTGAAACACCTTTCACTTGGCCTCGAAGCACCTCGTTCTCCTTTCTGGATGCTCCCCTCACACAGGGGACCCTCTCCTGCACCCTCTCCCCTTCTTTCCAGAAAATCCCACCCATTTCCTTAACTTGAACTCCTACTTTTCCACTCTCAATTCCCTAATCCAGGGGTCAGCAGCCTTTTGCTGTAAAAGGCCTGATAGTAACCATTTTAAGCTTTGCGGGGCGGGGGGGGGGGGGGGGGGGGGGGCGCAGTATCTGTCACAATTGCTCATCTCTGTCCTTGCTGTACAAAAGCAGCCATGGCCCACTGGTACATAGATGGGCATGGCTGTGTCCCAATAAAACTTTATTTACAAAAACAGATGGCGGGCCGGATTTGACCTGTGGTCATAGTTTGCCAACCCTGCCCAATCCATAGCTCTGGATGCATCTATCCCGTTTATTGGCTACCTCTGCCCAGGCCTTTTACTGAGGTCCAGGGACCGGAAGCAATTTGACCAATGTCACCCAAAAATGCAGGGCAGGAGAGGTGCCCAGGTCTCCCCACTCCCAGTTGGAGAGCCGGTCACCGCCAATCCCTGCCATGCCTTTCTGGCTCTCCCTGACCGCAGTTTTCTATCATTCATTCATTAATAACAATTCATTGATCACCTATTATGTGCGTCACCCTAAGCTGAGCCCTTTTTCTCCCCCATTTCCCTGCCCTCCTTGTCTCCCCTTTGTCCCTCTCACCACAGTACCCACAGCTCAGAGAAAGAAGCAAATGACCCCAGACAGAGTGCCTCCCTGTCCCAAGAAGGCCGGAGCCCTCACCTGCTCCCCAATTTGGGTGTGGATGCCTGCAGGAAAGCTGACCACGTCTGGCCACAGGGCGCAGGCCTCCAGGACCCTCTCCAGCCACGATGGGTCCAGCTCCTGCCTGAAGCACACGTTCTCCACCACGGATGTGTTCTGGACCCAGGCCTCCTGGGGCATGTAGGCCACGGGACCCTAAAACACAACTCACTGTGGCAATGAGGCCACTGGGGATGGAGGCAGGAGCGATTATGGAGGAATAGCCGGCGCCAGGCTATTGCTGGTGGTGGAAGGTGGAGAGAGAAAATGGAGAGGAGAGGGAGGGGCGTGGAGGGCTCTAAGATGGGAGACATTCTAGCAGAAAGGCAGGGGGTGTGGCCTCACCTTGATGTTCACAGTCCCCTCCACCTTTGACAGCTCCCCGAGGAGTGCGGAGAGCAGAGAGGACTTCCCTGCCCCCACGGGACCGACCACAGCCAGCAGGCAGCCCTGTGGCACGCTGAGGTTTATCCTGCAGGGGAGACGCATCCTGGGTAGGCCCAGCCTGAGTCTGTGCGGAATTGGTGAACCCCAGACACAGCTAGGCTTTCCCACTGGTGCTTCATCCAGGAGGTTGCTAAGAGGACGTTCAGGGGCAGTCCTTCCTTCTCCTAATCCTTGCCTGGCTACGCAAGCAGCCATTATATCCCATGTATGTGCATGGGAACACATACATGCACATCCACACACATAACACAATGTATGTGCACATGCACACACACAAGTGCATGCATATCTAAATAAATGTATGTTCACACGTGCATGCATGTGTGCGCATCTAACACCACACTGTGCACAAATGCATATACATGTACACACACACGATGCATGCACACATCCCGACACGCGCAAATGCCTGCACATGTAAACAAACATGCTCTCACATGTGCACACATATGCATGCACATGCGTACACACATAGAGTTTATTGTGGCAGGAGGATTTAACCAGCATCATGTCTTGATTCAGTCACTACAATAGGCTCCTTACTGCTCCTCCTGCTTCTGCCCTTGGCCCCTGCCCCTGTTCATTCTCCACCCAAGGGCCAAAGAGACTGGAGTTAAAACCCGAGTTAGATCATGACAATCCCCTGCTGAAGCCCTCCACCAGTTCCCGTGTCTTGCAGGGCTCTGACAGTCTTGAAAGATGCACAGCCTCCTACTGCTCTGCGTCAGCCACACTGACCTCGTTTCTCAAACACAACCGGGGGACATTGTGCCCCCCAAGGTGTCATTAGGTGATGCCTAAAGATATTTTGAGTTATCACAACTGAGGGGAGGGTTGCTGCTAGTATTTAGAGGGTGAATAACGGGGGTCCTGTTAAACATCCCACAATACACAGGACAGCCCCCTCACAGAGTTATCCAACCCCAAAGGCTAATATGATGAGGTGAAGGCACCTAGGCATACTCCTGCCCCAGGACCTTTGTACATGCTGTTTCCACTGCTTAGGAAGCTCTCCTCTCAGGCGTGTGCAAGGCTCATTTCTTCCCTTCATTATGATCTCAGTTTAAATGCCAGGCCTTCTCTCACTACTCAGGACCCTGTCAACACCACATTCTGTCACTTCCCGCTGATTTCTCATTTGTGTGCCCCCCTCATCAGAATGTCAGCCCCAAGGGTGCAGGGTCCTTTCTGGTTTGTTCACTTTATCCCTAGTGCCTACAACAGGGTCTGGCACATAGTAAGTGCTCAATAAACACTATGAAGTGAGCAAATGACAATCGACAGATCCTGGCCAGGGCATTTTAGTTCCCTTCGTAGGGACTTTTGGGGCTGACTGGGGTCTTCTGCTATAAAGACCTAGCCAAAGAATTGAAGGCTAGAGGTGACGATGATGTAGGGACTGACACAGGAGGGAGCGAAGCAGGCATGGCTGACCGGGCCAGGGCTCTTCTTGGCCAGGACTCTCGTGTCATCTTGTCCAGACTGGGGAGCAGAGGCTGCCTCCTCCCTGACAGGAAGGCATGGATGCCCCGTCCCCCCATCTGCAGGAGCTCTTGTTTTCTGAGACTCTCTGACAGGGACGCTCCTAGGAGTTCCCTGGCAGCACACCAGCCCAGGCTCACCCACCCTCCAGCCCCGGGCTGCAAACCTGCACCATCTCTCATGTAGGAAGTGTGTTTTCTCCCTGTCAGTAGAAGGTAGCTACCAGGGAAGCCCCTCTGTACCTGTGTAGGCAGGGCGGGCTCTCCCGGGACCAAGCAAAGGTACCTTCTCGCACACTGATGCAATCCTCCCTGGCAGCTGCAGGCATAAAAGGCCCGTTACACCAGAGGCTCTGGGCTGGCCTCCTTGTCCCAGAGAGCCCCCAGGCACCGCCCCCCAGAGGCAGCCCGAAACCTCTCCCGCTGAACAAATTGCCCTGCTTCTCACTGGCTTGAGTGTGACCCTGGCATCCTGCTGAGACCCTCATCCCTCCCAGGCCCCTCCTGCTGAACCCAGCACTCACAGCCTCTGGAGGGACTCCAAACCACAGCCTCAGGGTTAACTTCTTCCAGGCAGAGGAAGGCGGCCAGGCGGTTGAAGGACACCCGGGACTGGGGAAAACAGAGCCCGGGTCACCCGTGCCGAAGGGCAGAAAAAGAAGTGAGGCTGCCACTGGTCAGTGCGGTTCAGTGGCTAGAGCATCGGCCCCGCACCAAAGGGCGGCAGGTTCCTGGTCAAGGGCATGTACCTGGGTTGCAGGTTCCCTCCCCTCCCTGGTGGGTAGGGGCACATGCGGGAGGCAACCAATCGATGTGTCTCTCTCACATCGATGTCTCTCTCACATCGATGTCTCTCTCTCTCTCTCTCTCTCTCTCTCTCTCTCTTTCTCTCTCTCTCTCTCTCCTCTCTCTCTTTCTCTCCCTCCCTTCCATTTTCTCTAAAAATCAATGGAAAAAATATCCTCAGGTAAGAATTAACAAAAAATAGAAAACACAAAAATAAAAGAACTCAGGCTTTGGGTGTTGGGTGTCTCAAGAGGGTGGGAAAAGCTTCCTGTCTACAAGCTTTGCTCACTTGCACGGCATTAGTACGAAGATTAGTACAAAGCTTTTGTTTTGTTTTATTTTGTTTGTTAATCCTCACCCCAGGATATTTTTCCATTGATTTTTTTTTTTTAAGAGAGTGGAAGAGAGAGGGAAAGACAGAGAGACATCAATGTGAGAGAAACACACCAATTGGTTGCCTTCTGCATGTGCCCTGACCAGGGCCCAGCCCGGGAGGCACCTGTAACTGAGGTATGTGCCTTTGACCGGAATTGAACCCGGAACCATTCAGTCCCCAGGCCAACGCTCTATTCACTGAGCCAAACCAGCTAGGGCCAAAGCTTTTTAGGTGACAAAAATGATGTTCATGAGGGTGGTGACAGTGATGGTGGTGGTGCCCTCCCCGCTCCTTGCTCCTAATTCACATAATTGGTAGATGGAGCTGCCATTCTGCAGGCTACACCCTGGAAGACAGCATCAGCAGGCCAATATCAGGAACGATTCTAAGCCTTGTCCACCTGGGGGTGCCCTCTGCTCCCAACCCCAAACCCTTCCTTGGTAAGGTCAAAGGGAGCCATTTAAAGAGGGATGGCCCAAGCCAGTTTGGTTCAATGGATAGAGCATCAACCTGCGGACCAAAGGGTCCCAGGTTCGGTTCTGGTCAAGGGCAGGTACCTCGGTTGAAAGCTCCTCCCCAGCCCAGGCCCTGGTCGGCACTTGTGTAGGAGACAACCAATCAATGTGTTTCTCTCACATCAATATTTCTCTCTGTCTTTCTCTCTCTCTTCCAATCTCTAAAAAAAAAAAACAATGGAAAAATATCCTTGAGTGAAGATTAAATAATAAATAAATAAATAAATAAGGATGGCTCAGCCAGGCAACTGCTGTCTCCTTTTCATCACCCCCAAGGAGGCACAACATGAGTAGAGTCCGTAAAGAAGAGAAATAAGATAAAATTGCTTTGTGTAAAAAGGGAACCGAAATGAATCCATGCATGTGAGATTGCTGGATTGGTGAGGCTGTGTATTTTGAGGATGTCTGCTGACACCTTCTGCGGTAGCCTCTGCCCCTTCCCTCCCTGTTTGCTGCTCTGATTCATCCCCTTTCTCACTCCCTCTCCCCCTCCTCCTCCTCCTCCTCCATGGATGGTGGGTGCATGGAGACCGGGCACACCCCTGCAAGGCTCCTCCAAGCTGCCTCCCTCCCCCTGCCTCACCTGGACAACGGAGTGGATGGAAAAGGGCAGGAAAGCCTGGGCCTTGTTGAGGATGTTGAGAACCGTGAGGGTCACAAAGGCTTTCTCGGCGTCCATGGCATTCTCCTCGGTCACCAGAGTATGGACAGTAAACACCACCAGTGCCACCTGGGTGAGACACAGGGGGTGGCATGAGCTTCCATGAGTGTGGCCAGGGACACCTATGCCAGCTGTGGCCTCTCCAGGGGTCCATATGGCCCCTAAACACGGATCTCCCCCCAAATTCTGCTACTGATGAAGGGAGTGCGTACACAGCCCCATTGCCAGTAGGTATCAGAAACTCTGGATTCCAGGCATTGGGGGATACCACCATTCTCCATCGTGTAGAAGTTTGTGGTTCCAGATGTGGGTGGGACTTGTGATTCGAGAAACCCTTGGAAAATAGCAAGTCTGTGAAAGTAGTAAGTATTGGCAGCACTTGAGGGCTCTAGGTATCAGTGGCATTTGTGGTTCTAGAAGTCACTTGGTGTGATGGTTCAGTTCTAGAGGCTGGTGATGTGTTGGCTCTAGAATTCACTTGGTGTGACAGTTCAGTTCTAGAGGCTGGTGATGTGTTGGTTCTAGAAGTCACTTGGTGCGACAGTTCAGTTCTAGAGGCTGGTGATGTGTTGGTTCTAGAAGCCACTTGGTGTGACGGTTCAGTTCTAGATGCTGGTGAAGTGTTGGTTCTAGAAGCCACTTGGTGTGACAGTTCAGTTCTAGAGGCTGGTGATGTGTTGGTTCTAGATGCCACTTGGTGTGACAGTTCAGTTCTAGAGGCTGGTGATGTGTTGGTTCTAGAAGCCACTTGGTGTGACGGTTCAGTTCTAGAGACTGGTGATGTGTTGGTTCTAGAAGTCACTTGGTGCGACAGTTCAGTTCTAGAGGCTGGTGATGTGTTGGTTCTAGAAGCCACTTGGTGTGATGGTTTAGTTCTAGATGCTGGTGATGTGTTGGTTCTAGAAGCCACTTGGTGTGACGGTTCAGTTCTAGATGCTGGTGAAGTGTTGGTTCTAGAAGCCACTTGGTGTGATGGTTCAGTTCTAGAGACTGGTGATGTGTTGGTTCTAGATGCCACTTGGTGCGACGGTTCAGTTCTAGAGGCTGGTGATGTGTTGGTTCTAGAAGCCACTTGGTGCGACAGTTCAGTTCTAGAGGCTGGTGATGTGTTGGCTCTAGAATTCACTTGGTGTGATGGTTCAGTTCTAGAGGCTGGTGATGTGTTGGTTCTAGAAGCCACTTGGTGTGATGGGACTTCTGTGATGCTTAGTCAGTGTTGATCACTTTCACGGTCACTTGTCATGATGGTGACTCAGTGATCCTTTTGGGGGAGCCCTCATGGTTCTAAGTGATGGCACTTGCAGTTCTGAGTGTTGATTGTGTTGATGACATCTGGTGTCCTGGAAAATGGCCCCTGGGATTCTAGATCCTTCTGGACACAGTGGTTAAGGCCCACTTGTCACCAGTCTTGAATGTTTTATGGTTTGAATTTTATTCTGGACACAGCAGTGAGTCATTGTGGGTTTGATTGCAATGGCATGATTGCAGTAAAAACCATGCTTTAGAAGGCTAATCTGGCAGGAATTTGTGAAATCAACTGGAAAAAGACAGGACAGGCACTGTGCCCAGTGTGTGTTGGGGGGGGGGGGCGGGGGGCAGCAGGGTGAACTTGGGGTTCCATCTCTGCAGCTGCCTGCACTTGTCACCAATTCCCCACAGCAATAGAAGCGACAATTTCAGAAGACTCGAACTTTCAGGAGAACAACAGGCCTTCCCAGACACTGCAGCATTCGGGGAATGATCTGACTGATTTGCTAATCAGCAGGGAACCCTGAGTGAGTGCAGGATCCAGGAAGGGCGGTCTGCAAAGAGGCTCCAGGATTCGGGGGCTCCACCTACCTCACCCCCCTCCCCCAACACCCTTCCCCCAGCCCACACTCTGCAGGGAGACCAGGGTGACGTCACCAGAAACGTGGACAGTTGGAAGGACACCAGAGACACAGAGAAGAGGAGTCCAGAGGTCCTCAGGGCGCCCAGTTCCTGGCCCCGGATGCGCAGGACTCTCTCCAGAAAGGCCCCCTCCCAGCCGTGGCACTTGACTGCCCTCATGTTTCGGAGGAGGCAGCTGGTGAGCCGTGCCCGGGAGTCCTTCTGCCTCATTTGCTCTTCCTGGGACCAGAGGGGAGAGAGAGGAGAGCACAGGGACAAGTCTAGAGCTTTCCTTCCCAGCAGCCACACCACCCCTTCAGCAAATCCTGCTGATTCAAACCAGGCCCCAAGCTGTCTGCCTCTCCGCATCTGTGTCCCCACAGTCCTGGCCCAAGCCCCATCATCTCCTCTGGACTACGTCATCTCCCTTTGTCCCCCTGCTTCTGCCTTCATCACAGGGGATGCTGCACCATAACCAAGGAGACCCCGATGCGCTGGAAACAGAGGCGGGGACCTGAACCGGCCGACACGGTGCCACCGGGAAGGCTTCCTGGAGGTGGGGGTGACATATGAGCTACGGTGGGTGGGTGGGCAGGGGAAGATGGAGGAGACAGCATGACTTGGAGGACATCCAGTGAGGTCAGAGGAGGGTGTGAGTGTGGCGGGGACGGGGGGGGGGGGACTAAGAAGGAGAGGTGGCCTGGATCATGCTGGGACTAGGAGGGCAGGCAGTGGAGGTGGGGCCACTGGGTTTCACCTTTGAAGGGCATCGTTAGAGGGGCAGCTGTGTGGACAATGTCTTAGAGGAAGCCAGATAGAAGATTGGAGAAACAGTCTATCCAACACCCTCCCTCCCTCCCTCCCTTCCTTCCTTTTTTTCCTCCTTCTTCCTCCCTCCCTCCCTTCCTTCCTTTTTTTCCTCCTTCTTCCTCCCTCCCTCCCTTCTTTCTTCCTTCCTCCCTCCCCCCTTGCTTCCAAGAATGTATTTTTTTAATATATTTTTATTGCTTTCAGAGAGGAAGGGAGAGGGACAGAGAGAAACATCAATGATGAGAGAGAAAATCATCCATCGGCTGCCTCCTGCACGTCCCCTACTAGGGATCGAGCCCGCAACCCCTGGCCATGTGCCCTGGACCAGAATCAAACCTGGGACCCTTCAGTTCACAGGCCGATGCTCTATCCACTGAGCCAAACCAGCTAGGGCTCCAAGAATGTATTGGACACCTATGACAAGCGTATTCTAAAAGCTGAGACTGCATCAATGAGCATTCCCACTCCTGGGAAACTTTCATTAGGACAACAGATAGACAATAAATGGAAGAACTAAGTGTGTCCTATGGCAGGTTAGGTGACGAGAGCTATGGAATGAAACAGCACAGGCCACGGAGCTGAGCTGCAGGAGGGAGAGGGGCTGCCCAGACTTCAGGGAGGGGAGGGAGGAGACCTGACCCCTGGGATGAGGGTGTTCAGGCACAGGGCACAGCCAGTGCAAAGGCCCTGTGGCAGGAACTGGGCAGGTTTGAGGATCCCAGGGAGGGCATGAGCAAGGGGCAGGAGGTGATGAGGCCACCTCACAGGGGGCAGAGGGCCACGGCAGGGTCTTGGCTTTGACTCTGAGGTAAATGGGAGGGAGGCACCCCTGGCTGGTGTGTGAAGAGGCCTAGGTGGCGGTGAGGCCAGAAGTGGGGACTCCATGGCGGGGGGGGGGGGGGGGGGGGTCCCTGCAGTGACATAGGTGAGAGACAGTGGGATTGGAGAGCCTGGGTATGGAGGAGGAACATTCTGGATGCAATTTCAACCAAAGGAGCTGACTCCTGGGATGTGAGTGAAAGAGAGGCGTCAACACCAGCCCGGACTTATTTGTGGCCTGGATGCTGGAGGGACAGAGCTGCCATCCACCGAGATGGGGGCCGTGGGGACACGGGTCCGAGTGGCTGAAAGGCTCAGACCATGGCCGGCAATGCCAGGCCCGCACCCCATCCCCCACTCCCCTGCAGGCCCTCCTCCCATTTCCCTGTCAATGACCAAACCTGATAGTGGTTCCTCTTCTTGGTGATGAAGAAATTCAGAGGGAGGAGGCTTAGGAAGACAGTGACGGCGGTGAGGGCAGAGGGTCCTAGAAGCTGGAGACAGAGGGAGGAGGTCACGAGATTCCTGCAGGAGCCCTGCTGTAGACTCGGAGGGACCTGGTCAGCACCAGCGGCTGGGGCTGGAGGCTCACACTTGGTTCTGAAGGCAGGGGGGTGGCAGAGGGTCTGGTGAGGGCAGCTAGCGGGTCATGGAGACCAGGATCATGGGACAGACACCTAGAAGAAGACACCTTGTACATGAGGGGGAAGAAAAGACGTACTGCACACAACGGCGGGGTGTGCCTGGTCAGGATCGCAAAGTCAGGCCTCTGGAATCGGGATTTGGGTTCAAATCCTGACTCTGACACTCACCAGTGTGGCCTTGGGCACATGACTTACCCTCCCTACGAAGCAGTTTCCTCATCTATGAAATGGGAATAGAGCTGTGCCCACAAATAAGCTAAGTGCTCGAGTCATACAATCCATTATCACCTGAGTCTTCATTTCACAAGGGTTGCCAGACTTAGCAAATAAACATAGAGGACACCTGCCCGGTTACATGAGGATTTCAGATACAGAGTGAATATGTTTTTAGTATAAGGTGGTCCCATGGAATATTTGGGACATCCTTATACTAATACATTATTCAGTGTATCTAAAATGTATATTTAACTGGACACCTGTGTTTTGTCTGGCCGTCCCCACCCCCACCCCCAGCTCTGTGACTTTGGGACAGTTGCGTTCCCTTTCAGCTCTGGTTTCTCCACAGGGAAAATGGGGGGGTTGGGGGGGGGAAGGGAGGCGGGGGAGTAGAAGGATGATCTGTAAGTGGCTGTGACTTTTTTGAGATTCCTTCTGAGGTCATTTGGGCCCATTCTCTAGACAAGCCTCACCCTCCCTCCAGCCTGGGGGCCTTGGTTTCTCCCATCAGCCAAAAAACAGTTTTGGAAATTTCCCTGACGACCAAACCAGCCAGTTTGTTCATTTATGTAGCAATAGTGCCACCCAGTGGCTAAATAGACAAGTGCCAGAAGGCAAATGCCAGCCGTGAGAGCCAGTGCTGGGAAAATGCTAAAACGTTGATAGAAGGTCAAACACTCTCTGATAAAATGGTATCAATTGGCAAAAATGCTACACATGCTAACTATTGCCACCCCAATGCCTACCCCTCCTTAACTAGGATCTCAGGGTGATCCTCTGAGTAGGCCAGGAAGTGATGGGTGTGTTGTCTGTAGGCTCACTTGGGTCATGGGTCGGCCTACTCAATTGCCTTGTATTTCTCTGTGTCCTCCTCCCCCTCCCCATATTCCTATAATAACAGCTAACATCTATGTAGTGCACATCAGGAACTGTTTGAAGTGCCCTATGTGTATTTGATAAGGACCTACTGTGTGCTAGGCATGGAATACCAGGTACCAAGTCAGAAAGGTTCTGGCCCCTGCCCTACAGGTCTGTGGAAACAGAAGTAGGGGACCAGTAATGATGATAGCACACAGTAGGTGGCATTTGGGACTATTCCACACTCACTCACAACTAATATGCCACTGGTACACCCACCCAGGGTCCTACCAACTATGGCACATGGCCCAGGGCCCTCCACTTGCTTTCGTATAGCCTGTGAGCTGTACAAAAAATAAATAAATAAAAAAAAAGTAATGGTTTTTACATTTTTAAGTGGTTGAAAAAATGAAAAGAAAAATAATATTTAGGGATGTGTGAAAATTACACAAAATTCAAATTTCAGTGTTCCTAATCAGGCCCCCTGGAGCTCCGCCTTGTCTCCCTGCTTAGTGTTGTCTGTGGCCGCTTTGGCATTCGAAGGGCAGAGTTGAATAGTTTTGAGAGCGACCACATGGAACCCAACGTCTAAAATAGTTACAATTTGGTCCTTTACAGAAAAGAGTGTGAGCCTTGCACCTGGAGCCGAGCTGGAGGAAGATCTTCAGATGAACTGCCCCACCTCCGCCTCCTTGCATAATTAATAACGTGAGCCGATGCCTGCAGATACAGCTGAGTGCCAGGCCCTGTCTAAGTGCGCACAGGCACCAGCTCAGTGCAGACTCAACATCAAGGCCAGGGGCACTGTTGTTTACTGTGATTCTCACCTTACAGACGAGGGAATGGGGCACCGGCGGGCTGTTCCTTGTGCGAGGTTTATAACTGGCAAGTAGTAAAAGCAGGCGTTGAACCCAGGCAGTCCCACTCCAAGGTCTGTGATTTTAATTAAAAGAAAGAAAGAAAGAAAGAAAGAAAGAAAGAAAGAAGAAAGAAAGAAAGAAAGAAAGAAAGAAAGAAAGAAAGAGAAAGGAAGGAAGGAAGGAAGGAAGGAAGGAAGGAAGGAAGGAAGGAAGAAAGAAAGGAAGAAAGAAAGGAAGAAAAGAAAGGGAGAGGGAGGGAGGGAGAGAGGAAGGAAGGGAAAGAAAGAGAGAGGGGGGGAAGGAAGGAAGGAAGGAAGGAAGGAAGGAAGGAAGGAAGGAAGGAAGGAAGGAAGAGAAAGAAAGAAAGAAAGAAGAAAGAAAGAAAGAAAGAAAGAAAGAAAGAAAGAAAGAAAAAGAAAGAAAGAAAGAAAGAAAGAAAGAAAGAAAGAAAGAAAGAAAGAGAGAGAGAAAGAGAGAAAGAAAGAAAGAAAATCCTATACCACAAACTAGATGAAAGGAAGTTCGAGAAACTGATTTAAAAATGTTTTTTGCCACGGGGTCACTTTATGGTTTTTGAAAACCAGGTAGCAAATTCTTTCCCCTAAAATGTTTTGTCTTTTTTGCTGCTGGTGCTGGTGCGCCAGTGTTACTGGTAACTTCAAGCAGGCTTCGTCTGTCTCCTCGCTACCCCAGTACCCCGATAGCGTACCCAGGAGGCGTCAGTGTCGTCATTATCATCAGTATTTTACAGATGAGGAAACCGAGGCCCAGAGAGGATGAGCATCCTGCCCAAGGTCAAGGAAAGGCCATCCTTGTCTAAGACTTTGCTCATTTTAGCCCACAGTGTGCAGATGGAGACAGGAATAAGGGAAGAGGAGGAAGAGAAGGAGGAGGAGGAGGAGGAGGGGGTAGGATTCAGCTCAGATCCCAGCGCCCTCTGCCCAGCACACCTGCCAGAGATAAACAAAGCAGACGATGATCCAAACGAGCGGCAGCCACAGCCCATTGACGTAGACGACGCTCTCCGTCAGCCGCTGCACGTCCACAGACACCAGGTTGACCACGTCCCCAACTGCGCTGGTCTTTTTGGAGCCGCTGGACAGAGCCAGGACCTGGGTAGGGCAGGAGGAAGGAGACCTGAATCTGAGGGAAAGTCCGGTGATGGGGGTGGGGGGAAGGCAGGGAGGCCCCAGGCGCAGGGAGGGGGGTAGGGTCTGGGTCTAAGACTGATCCTGGCTAATTGAGGCAGATTCCTTCAGCACCTGAGCCTCCGTTCACTCATCTCTAACGAGAATAAAAACCCCTAAGCCAGCCTCCTAGGGCAGTGATGGCGAACCTTTTGAGCTCAGCGTGTCAGCATTTTGAAAAACCCTAACTTACCTCTGGTGCCGTGTCACATATAGACATTTTTTGATATTTGCAACCATAGCAAAACAAAGACATATTTTTGATATTTATTTTATATATTTAAATGCCATTGAACAAAGAAAATTCAACCAAAAAAATGAGTTTGCGTGTCATAGGTTCGCCATCACTGTCCTAGGGCCTTTGTGAGAATCCAGGGAGGTGACAAAGAGGAAAATACTCTGAAATCCCTAAAGCGTTGGAGCCATGATAGTCCATCACAAAATACATGAAAACCTTGGATTTGTGACGGCAGTGGTGGCCATTCGCTGAGTGCTAACCATGTCGCAGGCACTGTGTTCAATACACAGTGTCACCGTTTTCTGTGATGAACACATTACACAACTGCATGGGACAGGTACTGCCCTATTTCAGTTTAAAATGCCATGAATAAAACCCTCTCTGTTTGTGTATCATTAAGCAAAAAAAATCAATGCCAATTAAATTAAGACGTAAGGCATCTTGATTTCAGAAGTATTTTAAAAAAGTGAGACTAGAATCAAAGACATACAGAATTACTAACCCCATTTTACAGCTTAGGAAACTGAGGCACAGAGAAATTGACCAACTTGCCCAAAGTAGGAGAGCTTGTAAGTGACTAGGCTAGGATTTTAATCCAGGCTGAGCAAGTTATGACCCGGGCTCAACAGGCATTTAACGTGCCTCTCAAATACCAACCTGGTTCTCTGGCAGCCTGGAAATTCGCCCTATCCCTGGGGCCACAGCAGACCGCTTCCTGCCTGTTGAATGCTCAGTGTTATGTATGAGGAAAGAAGTGAGGGGGTGAAGGAATAAACTGGGAATGACTGAGGGTAGAAATTCTCCCAAAAGTCTTTGAATCGTTATTGAGCACCTACTCTGTGCCTCACACTGAGCCGGGTACTGAGAATGTAGCTGTGGACAACGGAGGGAATGGGGCTGGCTCCCCTGGGAGTGGAGTTTGAGCTGGGGAACACGATTAAGTCAAGACTTCCATAGCTCTTTCCTTCATGGCAGCTATGACGAGTGCCACGAAGAAGTGTTTTAAATCCAGGTTTTATTATTCAGGGAAGTCAAGGCCCACACATCAGGAGACGACTGTCATTGACAAGATAGTGTTGATACTCCTAGATCTCAAGAGGAGAGGGTGGCCATCCTGGGAGGGGCCCCTCAGGGAAGCACCAGGTTGGGTGGAGGGAGGCGGGCAGAAGCCTGTACTGTGGTTGTCACAGGAAGGAACGCCCGGCAGGGCAAGCAAGCTGAGGGCTGGCTTCCTTCAACAATCCCAGCAGGCTCTGGGGGGCGTGGGAGCCCTGCCTAGTGGTCTGGCCCTGGAGTGAATGGGGCAGGGTGTGTGTGTGTGGGTGTGTGTGTGTGTGTGTGTGGAGAGAGTGTCTCAGAAAGTGAGAACCCCATCCATGGGGGCTGGGGGATGGGCTCGGGGTTCAGTGGTTTGCATATTAAATGTGTGCTCTCAGGTGAGTCATTTACTTTCTCTAGGAATTGGCAGCCCCTCCAGGATCAATAAAGCCCCAGATGTCAAAACACTAGATGTAGCTCTGGCAGGTAGGAGTGTGGTTAGAACATCAGCCTTGCATCTAAGGTAGTGGTTCTCAACCTTCTGGCCCTTTCAATACAGTTCCTTCTGTTGTGACCCAACCATAAAATTATTTTCATTGCTACTTCATAACTGTAATGTTGCTACTGTTATGAATCATCATGTAAATTTCTGATATGCAGGATGGTCTGAGGCCACCCCTGTGAAAGGGTCGTTCGACCGCCAAAGGGGTCGCGACTCACAGGTTGAGAACCGCTGATCTACGGGTTTCATTCCAGTCAAGGGCAGGTCGATCCCTGATCCCGGTCGGGGCGAGTGCAGGAGGCAACCAATTGATGTGTCTCTCTCATATCTATGTCTCTCTCTCTCTCTCTCCTTCTCCCCTTCCTCCCTCCCTTCCACTCTCTCTAAAAATCAATGGGAAAAATGTCCTCAGGTGAGAAGTAACAAAACAACAAAAAAAAGACAAAACAAAACACCAGCTGCGGAAAATAAGATGACACAGCTCCTAGAGCAGCTCAGAGAGGAGAGTGAGGGGTCTGGCCTCGCCCTGAGATGAAGAAGGCCTTCCTCGCTCAGGGTGGGGAATGGGACGGGCAATGCCCTTGGTTTTCCAATCCACCTCACTCAACACGTGGACTCACAAGACCGGCCCGGCCCCACGTGCGTAGCTCCGGTGTGCTCAGGGGACATGGGTCTGAAACACAGCAGCAGGGCAGCAGCAGGAGCCACCCTCGTGGCCACCAAGAAGCTGTTCCCTTTACCCGCCTCCTTCCTCAGGCGGCAGCTCAGGTATGAGAAGGAGACTCACAGGGGGCAGCATCACCCTGGCTCACACACTCCAGACCCCACAGGAGCCAGTGTTTCTTATAGCATCAGTCTTGTGGGGGTCCTTCCAGGATCCTCCAAAGGGATAAGAGTCACTGCACAGAGAGAAGCCCAGAGCTATGGCTTCCCACCAGGTGTTCATTGTTCCCTAACGGAACTTCTAGGTCAGATGCAATGTCCCAATGGGTCAGGGCTCATTTTTTACCATAAGCCGTGCTGCCTGGTAACGTAGCTGTCAGTCCACTATTACCTAGTTTCTGCACTGACCAAAGGTTAGTCCTTTATCCTCATGAGGGAGTTGATTGCATAAAGGTTTATCCAGGCAGCGGTAACAGCAAGTGCAAAGGCCCTGGGGTGGGAGGGTGCTTACTGTGTTTGGGCTGGAGCAGGTGGGCAAGAGACGAAGAGGCATATGATGCGATGTGATGAGGTCACAAAGGTCCTAGGGTCAGATCATGCAGGGCCTTAGAGAAATAACCAAGGAGGTGCGAGTGCAGGGTAAGCAACTATTAACGGAGGAATGAATATGTTTTCAGGCACCGATGATATCAACAGTTCAGTGACGTGAACCCTCCTGCTTTCCTGGCTACAGCATCTGCATGTAGGTCAGGACAGGATGAGGAGAAGGGAAAGGCCCGCGCCTCTCCCCACGGCTCACCTTTCTGTACACCAGGCCAGTGACGGCTGTTCGCAGCCTTATCTGCAGCACCTTGAGTCTGTACATGTGCTGCTGCTCGAACAGTGTTTGCAGGCAGGCGGCCAGGAACATCAGCACCGCGATCAGATAGCCCTTCCAGGCCGGGGCTGTGGCATCGCCAATGAACTCCAGGAAAAGGCTTGTGGGAGAAGGAGGGAGGAGGTAGAGCTGGTGAGAGAAGGCACCCGCGGGTGTTGCCTGTGCCCAAGCCTGGCCAGGTCGTGGAGGACCAGCTGGTGTGGCAGATTTTATTTTCAGAAGGGACTGTAATTATTTCCCCACTCTCTATGCTAATGTTCAAAGTGAGCTGCGGCAGCTCCGCTCAAGAGCAGTGACGTTTTTATCCCCACCTGTGGTGGGCTGAGTTGTACCCCACACAATTCCTGTGTTGAAGTCTGAACCCCCAGCACCTCGGAATGCAACTGCATAAGTTAAAGTGAGTCTGCCCCGGTGAGCCTTCATTCGGTATGATTGGTATCCTTATAAAAGGAAATTTGAACAGACTTGGGGTGCATGTGCACTAACTGAATTGCTCACCACATTATCGTAAGTAAATAAGTGGTTTAAAGCCCTTCACTTTTGGGGTGTTTTGTTATGCAGCAAAAGCTAACCGATACAGTCAGGTTAGTGGTCACTCACTGTCTCTCCCCAAGGTCAGTCACCTTCTCATTTGCTTTGGTCCTTCTCAGTGTCCTTTTGCCCCCCCCCGCTCCACTTCCCTGAGCAGAGGTCTAGGTGGAGGCAGGAGAGCTAAAGCCCCGCCCCCCGCCCCCCACCCCAAGGACCACCAACTGTAGCAAGGCACCCAAGGCTTGAACTCACCTGAGGAGCTTGGGGACAGTGAACCTGAAGACGTCACTGATGACAAGGCTGAGGGTCCCCAGGAGGAAGGTGGAGCGGAAGACCTGCCAGATGGCCCTCAGCAGCGGGCCCCTCACACTCCCTCTTGGCTGCAGGAAGGCCTCGGCCTCTGTGGGCTCCCCATCACGGCGGAGGCTCCCTTTCCTCTTAAACACGGCTGCTGCAGTTTGCCTTAGGGGAGAAGAGACATGGCGCTGGGTCCGTGAGTGGATTGAGTATGTTTCCTCAAGTTCATATGTTGGAATCCTAACCCCCAATGCAATGGTATTAGGGGATGGGGCCTTTGGGAGGTGGCTAAATCCTGAGGGTGGAGCCTTCATGAATGGGATTAGTGACCTTATCAAAGACCCCAGAGAATGGCCTTGCCCCTTCTGCCATCTGAGGACACACAGAGGGGACAGTGTCTCTGAATGAGGAAGTGGCCCTTGCCAGACACCGAATTTGCTGGTGCCTTGATGTTGGACTCCCAGCCTCCAGAACTGTGAGAGACAACTTTGTTGTTTATAAACCACCCAGTCTATGCTACTAGTACTTTGCTAGCGGCCCCAACGGATGAAGACAGTCCTTTTCCATATTCTCAGGGGTGGCAGCTGAGCAGTCAGCAGCAGGACCCAGTATTACAGGATTCATTCTCAACCAGGGGGTGGGTGAGCACAGATCCAGCCTCCCCTCCTCCCCTGTTCTTCCTTATCCCCCAGATCACCCCCTTCCCAATCCCCCAGATCACCCCCTTCCTTATCCCCCAGATCACCCCCTTCCTTATCCCCCAGATCACCCCTTCCTCATCCCCCAGATCACCCCTTCCTAATCCCCCAGATCACCCCTTCCTCATCCTCCAGATCACCCACTTCCTTATCCCCCAGATCACCCACTTCCTCATCCCCCAGATCACCCCCTTCCGTATCCCCCAGATCACCCCCTTCCGTATCCCCCAGATCACCCACTTCTGTATCCCCCAGATCACCCCCTTCCGTATCCCCCAGATCACCCCCTTCCTCATCCCCCAGATCACCCCCTTCCGTATCCCCCAGATCACCCACTTCTGTATCCCCCGGATCACCCCCTTCCTCATCCCCCAGATCACCCCCTTCCGTATCCCCCAGATCACCCACTTCTGTATCCCCCAGATCACCCCCTTCCTCATCCCCCAGATCACCCCCTTCCGTATCCCCCAGATCACTCACTTCCTTATCCTCCAGATCACCCACTTATCCCCCAGATCACCCACTTCCTTATCCTCCAGATCACCCCCTTCTGTATCCCTCAGATCACCCACTTCCTTATCCTCCAGATCACCCACTTCCTTATCCCCCAGATCACCCACTTCCTTATCCCCCAGATCATCTACTTCCTTATCCCCCGGATCATCCCCTTCGTTATCCCCCAGATCACCCACTTCCTAATCCCCCAGATCACCCACTTCCTTATCCTCCAGATCACCCACTTATGAGACAAACAGGCAGGTAGGAGCGGAGTGGGCAGGAAGGCAGCCCCAAGATCTCATGGATGGTGATGGGACTGCACATGCTTTGAGCACCTAGTCTACGCACCAGGCACTTCCTAGTCCAGTGATGGCGAACCTTTGAGCTCGGCGTGTCAGCATTTTGAAAAACCCTAACTTAACTCTGGTGCCGTGTCACATATAGAAATTTTTTGATATTTGCAACCATAATAAAACAAAGACTTATATTTTTGATATGTATTTTATATATTTAAATGCCATTTAACAAAGAAAAATCAACCAAAACAATGAGTTCGCGTGTCACCTCTGACACACGTGTCATAGGTTCGCCATCACTGTGACCTAGTCCTTCTAAGAACCTGGCAAGCCAGGTGTTAAGCCCATTTCACAGATGAGGAAACTAAGGCTCAGAGAGTGAACTTGTCCGAGGGCACATAGCTGAGAAGTAAGAGAATTGGGATTTTATCCCAACTCTGCCTTCGGGCCCTCTTTGATCCAATATGCAGCCCTCCCTTCTTCCACAACAGCCCTTAGGTGGTTTAGACTGGTTTAGACTGGTTTAGAATCCTGCTGATATCCATGGGCCTGGCACTCCTTGTCTGTATGACACCACATATAGAAGCTCAGGAGCCCTGAAGCAAAAAGAGCCCGGCCTTGGTCATAACCCGGGGCCACAGGGAGAGCTAGGGTGGCGGAGGGGGAGGCAGGAAAGTCAGAGGACCCCTCCTGAGGCAGGCATTCCTCAGTCATAGGGAGAGGCTGGTTGGTGGTGATGCAGCTGCTGACAGCCCAGCTGCTGTGTGACTTTGGGCAGACCGCTCCCCTCTCTGTACTTCTGTGTCCTTGTGTGTGATGGAGCTAGTCTCTCTCTCTGCGTCCCCTCCAATTCTGACAAACTATGGAGTTATCATTAATATCAATGCCCACGTACAGAGCTTGAACCCAGGACCAGGCACTGGGATCTGTCCTGTACATGCCCGATTGCACCAACTCCTCTCAACTTCCCTGCCTGCCGGCTATCACAGGCTCCCCACTTTACTTAAGAGAAGGCTGAGGCTCAGAGAGGTGGTGACAGCTGCCCGAGCTCACACAGCAAGGACAGAGCAGGGATCTGAGCCCAGATCTCCATCCATGGTTTACACCGCGCCTCTTTATGGTCCTCACCACCCACCAAAAAGAAAAAAAAAAGAAAAAGACCGTGGCAAGCGTAGGTTGCCAGACTTTCGCTGACCAGGTCAAGGCCTTGTCCCCCATGCCTGGCCTCGCTTGCTGTTTGGTTTGGCATCTCAGAGGGCTGTGGCTTGGCCTTTGTCATTGAGCTGTGCATGACCTGCCACGTGCATTTTGGTATTTGGGTCTCGAATGACAAAAGGATGTCACCTCCCTGCGGAGGCCTTTCCCAACCACCCTGCCCCATCTGATTCCATCCTTTCATGACTGGCCTTCACGGCCATGTTCACTCTCTCCAACTCTCTCCTTTACTTATTGGTCTTGTTAGAGCTCAAGATGGGGAGACTTTTGGCTTTTTTCCCCAGCACCTAGTTCAGCTCCGGAATGTAGTTAGGCACTGAGTTAACACTTGCCAAATGAATGGGGGGGAAATAGATTAGCTGTGATGGGTGCAAAGGGCCTAACAGAAGTGCCTGGTGCATAAGGTTATAAAGATTTTTGGAAGGAAAAAAGGAAGGAAGCAGGTAACTTGGTTTGGTGGACTGAACTTGGCCTTGGAGCCAGGGGACTGAGGTCAAACGCTAGCTCTGTCCCCTGCCCTCTGAGCCTCAGTGTTTCTGAGTGGGCAAAGAGATGACTGTGAAGGCTTCCTCCGGCTGGGTGTACTGCTCGTCCTGTTCTAGCTGCTTGCCCCAGAGCTCCGAGTCATTGTGGTCAGCCTGCAGGCTGTAGCCAACTTCCTCCGCTACAGGGGGCTTCACTTTTCTTCCAGGGAAGCCTCTAGACTGGTGTGTAGCCTTTGGTCTCTGGACCAAAGGTGTATTTGTGCAGGACTTGCATATGACCACATGGTGAGGCAAGGGTGTGAGTGAGTGGCCAGGTTTGAGTCGGGGGAGACAAAAGGGCGTGGTGGAGACTGTGGCAAGCTGAAGAGCACCTGCCCTCTGTAATGGGGCAGCCCCCACCCAGATCCACTCTCCTGTTCCATGCGGGGCTGTGACCCAGCATCGCCTGTCTACTTTAAGAGAGATCAGAATTCCAGATTATTAGGCGACATCTCTAGTGTTTTAAATGTTGGCAACTTATTAAAAACAAAACAAAACCCCAAAGAACAACATTCCACCATGTGGGCCAAGTATACCTTGGAAACCTGACCTGGCCAGTAGGTAGCACCTGCTGACCTCTCAGGATGACATCCTCTTCCTCCAAAAGTTGCAACATATTTCAGACCTAAAACCAAAGTTCCCTCTGTGTCTCATCAGTCAGCTCGGAACATGACTGAGCTGGGTCCTTGTATAACCATGCCTTCCTCTTTTCTTTCTGCCCACTGTTTATGGGTCCTCAGCCTGCCCTGGGGAATGTTTCCATCCACCAGCTCCAGTGTTCCCGTGTTCTCATGCTGGCAAGGGAAGCCAGAGCAGGGAGAGAGCGGGTGAGACACCAGGGCTTTTGTGAATGAATTCTGCCCCTCAAAGGTAATTTAAGAGTGGAGGGGAAGTTCAGCAAGTACTATGCCTGGTGTGTGAGAGGGAGCTGCTGCTTCGATTTGCCCATATACTCACCCCTTTTTGAGCAACCCACCCTCTTCCTTTGGGGAGCAGTTCCTCCTCTCCCCTCCCCTCTTTGTGTGACTCTCAAGGAACCACCAATAATAGGGCCCACCCCCTAGCCATGGGAGTGGCCCCACATGAGCCAGCCAATCCCAATTTCCTTGGGATTTCCGATAGGAAAGCTAGGAGAGATGGCATTATGAAGAGCCGACTACACAGAAACAGCTGAGAGGAGAGATGGGGGAAAGAATTTGGACACCATGTAAGCCCCTGGATTCAGCCAGACCTGAAGCCAGACCCACCTTCTCAGCTTTGTGAGCCAACAGTCTCTCACTCTCTCTCTCTCTCCTGCTAATTTGTGGGACTTAGCATCTACAGCCACCACCACCACAAAATCTTAGAGTACATAAGGGAAATGTAACTTTCCCCACAGAACTAAGTTACTTTCGTCTGTCCCCCGAAACACCAAGATCCAGTGAGGTCAAGCGACTTGTCCAAACCTCAGGTTTCATTCGTGTTGTCAGCTCATTTCTCTAGAACAACGAACGGTTCCCAAACTGGTTCTTCAGACTCCAAGGCACCCACCGAAGTTTCCAGAGATGCCACGGAGGGCAGGAGTGGGGCAGAGAGGACAGGACTAGAGAGAGCTTGAACTCCTCTGGGGAACTGGTATTGCTTGTGCTTTGCCGTTTTCGAAGAATTCGCTCAGTTCTTTTCTAAAATCATTTTCTTTTCGTCTCCCACAAGTTATGAGTTAGGGGAGAGGGGATGGCACCCCCACTGAACAGGTAAGAAAGCCGAGGCCCAGGAAACGAATCACTCGGTGACATAAGTGAATAGTTGCCTGCATTTCTGATCCACCACCCAACTCTCCACCCCAGTCTTAAAACATCCCTTCTGTTTCCTGCCTGCCATCCCAGCATTCGAGCTTCCTTCTAGAGGCCTTGTGGAGCTCCCACTTTGTCCCTTTCCTTTGGGAACCTGCGAAGCACTCAGGGCAGGGGCGGGGCAGGGGGAGGCGGAATGTCCCTTTCTCCTGACTCCTTAATGCTTAGTGGCATCCGCCAGCAGGAAGGGGACTGTGGAGGTGGAGCCAGAGGATGGTTGGTGGTTGTGTTTGGGGCCAAATGAGAGGAGCTTTGCTAACCAACCGCGCAGCTGAGCTCTCTCTCTCTGATTCCACACTCACCGCTGGGCTGCTCTGCGGCTCCTTGTCCATTCCCTTTCCAGCTGGGAAACAAGTTCTTCTGAGGAGTTCTCTCTCCGAACGGACCAGAGGTCTTTTGGTCTCAGTGGCCTCCTGTAGCCCCTCCAGACCAGCCTGTCAAAAAAAAAAAGAGGGTCACCAAGGCAGGCTCCTTGTGTCTTCTGCCCCATCAAAGTCCTGGCCTGGTAGCTGTGTGACCCTGGGTAAGTCCCTTTCCCTCTCTGCACCTCTGCTGGCCCCTCCGTAAAGTGAAAGCAATGAACTTAACTGCACCTAATATTTGCTGGCACTTTCCAGTTTATAAAGATCATGTCATTTAATGCTCACATGAGCCCATCTGAGAGGTTTTTATTGACCCATTTTACAGAAGAGGAAGCAAACAGAGGCTCAGAGAGATTTAACCAAGAGACGGCCTGTGGGGCAGGGGAAATACACCTCCCTAGGAGTCAGAAGTCCGGAATGGAAAACTATCACTGTGGAGAAAACCTGAACTCTTCCTTCGGTGTTCCATGTTCCCCCTCTCCTCCTCGCTCACCCTCCAGCCATCCGGCCTCAGGACCTTTGCACATGCGTGTGGCTCCGCTCAAAACTCCTTTCTTGCATTCCTCACCTGGTCACTTCTGACTTGTCCTTCACCTCAGCTTAGATGGGATTTCCCTAGAAGCCCACCTGATGACCTCTGCTGTCCAGATCCCCCCATTAAACGATCCCATAGTTTCTTGAGCTTTTTTATTTATAACTAGAGGCCTGGTACACAAAATTTGTGCATGGGAGGGGGGTCCCTCAGCCTGGCCTACACCCTCTCCAATCTGGGACCCCTCGGGGGATGTCTGACTGCCTCTTGCAATCCGGGACCACTGGCTCCTAACCGCTCGCCTGCCTGCCTGCCTGATCGCCCCTAACCCCTCTGCCTGCCTGCCTGATCGCCCCTAACCACGTCTGCCTGCCTGATTGCCCCTAACCACCTCTGCCTGCCTGCCTGCCTGCCTGATCATCCCTAACTGCTCCCCTACTGGCCTGATCACCCCTTACCGCCTCTGCCTCACCCCACACCCAGGACCCAGGATTCCCTCCTCCGGCTGGTCACAGGCACCCGAGACCTGGGCTTCTCTCCCTCTGGCCAGCCCCAGGCACCCAGGACCCAGGCCGGCTTTGCCCAGGCCACAGCCAAAGGAGCCCAGGACTGCGGGACGGGTGGCTTGTCCCTCTCCAGGGCCACAGCCTGGGTGGTCCCCATTCCTCTCTTGCAAGCTCATTTGTGCCTGGCTGGTCCCCATTCCTCTCTCCCCAGTGTTGAGTGTCTGAGCCATTACGGTGTGACAGCATGAGGACGTGGTGACCATTTGCATATTAGCTCTTTATTGTATAGGATGCTGTTGCAATTATGATCATTTACTATTTCAGTCTGATCATTTATTTAGTGTCTTTCTCCTCCATAGGGATGAAGACAGCCCTTGCCTTTATCCTCATCCCCTGGCCCAAGATTTGTCACTTGAAGCCACTTATCAACTCTGTGACATGGTCATGTCACTTCTCATCAATGGACCTCATTTTTTTTTGCCTTAAAATTACAGTGTTTCCCCACACATGGGGCTGGTATGTGAGATGACTGTCAGTGGCACATTGCTGGAGGAGGTCATTGAGAGGATGGGGCCACTGGTTGACCCCACAGCTTGACCCCACAGCTTGGCCCCCACAGCTGGACCTGGGCAATTAGAGGCCCCTCACTCTCCCCTGCCTTGGAATGTGTACACTGCCCACTCTTCCTGCACTAGGAGCCATTCCAAGGATGTAGCCTTGAGAGAGGAAGATGTTGAGACCATCTGGAAGATCCACGTGATTGAACCCATTAAGGCCTCTGTATCAACTGTTAAGATTCTGACCAGTGAGTGTGGAGATCTTGTCTTGCAGCCCAAGATGAGGCTTGTCGGTGAGCTCCCTTGCTTGTGAAAACCGCCACCTACCATTCTAGAGCCTGTCTCTTCCATCTCTCTTTGCCTTCTGGGTACAGGGCCAATTTGCAAGCCAGCACACATACACAGAAATTAAATACTATAGACTTCTGAAGGAAGAGCGTTATTTTCTTTCTGGGTCTCTATAATCTTTCCAATGATGCCAAGGAGAAGGTCTTATTTGTGCTCCTCTCTGAGACTTTTCAAGTTCCTGCCCTAACTCAGAGCAAACTCAGGCGAGCAGCAGTTCTGATCTAGAAATTATTAACATTGCTGGCTTTTCACTGAAATTAGGTTCGGAGTTCTACCTGGCAAGTGATTCCATAGATTTTTCCAATTTGGCAGTGATAGAAAGTTTCCTTAAAAAAATTCTATTAAAGTAGAAAAGTAAGTTGATTTCAAGAAAAAAATGTTAGGTAAATAGTGTATGAATAACACTCTAATAAGGCAAAAAGCTTGAAGAATGGTCCATAAATATCTATGTTTGGGAAACAGAGGGGTAGGTCTGTTTTCTTCTAGCACTTCTATGCTCTTTCCACCAGCTCCACACCCCCAGAGCATCCCGTTCTGCATGCATTTAGCAGCTGCTTTATATAACACTCATTGTAGGCCAGACCCTGTTCTAAGTTCTTCATAAACTGTATTTCATTTAATCCTCACAACCCTATGAGGTAGATGCTATTATTGTTTTCATTTTATAGGTGCAGAGACTGGGGCACAGAGAGGCTAAGTAGCTTGCCCAAGGTCACACAGCCAGGAAGCGGTGGGGCTAGGATTCCAATTTAGGTACTATGAAGTCTGACCACAGTGTGCTCAGGAGGGGGCCTGGTGGGTGGGGACACCCTCAGTGCCCAGTGTGCTGACCCTGGAGAAACATGTCTTCTCTACCAGCCTGGGAGCCTCCAGGGGGTAAAGATTTGGTCTTTCCCTGGTGCTTAGCACATAGTAAGTGCTTATTAAATGTTGATGGAATGACTGACGCTGAGCAAGAGACAATTTTATTGAGCACCTGCTATGTACAAGCACTAACCACTTCACATTCAATGAAAGTAGAGTTGTTCCCATTTTAAAGAGGGGAAAACTAAGACTCCATATTTGTGATATGGCCGGCTAAGAGAGAGATCCAGGGTTCAAGCCCAAATCTCACTCCAGTGAGTGAGAAGGAGTGGGATGTGGCGGATGGGCACTTTGAGAGGGACGCACTGAGGCTGGAGCAGAGAAAGCCAGCTGGCCTTGGAACCTCATGGGGGACGAACGGTGGTAACAAATCAGGGCAGCAAATGGAGGTGAGGAAGGCACTGCCTCAGCCCTTCCCAGCTACTGTACTTACCCAGAAACCCACCAGAACATGGCCTTGGAGGGGAAGGAGGCCCCAGCCTCCGGACAGGGATTCTGTAAAGACAAAAGATGGGGCAAGAGGAGAACGCAGTCTCACATTCCAAGGCCAGTCTGTGGCCAGGGGAGCCAAGGGCAGGAAGACAGGGGGAAATGACCATCAGCTTAGCCTCCAAGCGCACAGCGGTGTGCCCGACCTACTTGTCGGAGGTAGACACCTAGCAGGCAAGGCAACAAGGGACTGGGCCACAGGACTGACAGCATCCAAAGGGAAGAACTAACCGTTTCCCCGAAGAACAACTATTATTAATATGGAGACCAGGCAGTTCTCCAAGCAAGGACCATGCATGACATAGCAACATTCTGAGCCGCATCCCTCAGTGACTGTGGTGAGGAAGTAGACAGGGCTCTGCCCTGAGATTTTGCCAGTGGCTCCAGGAAAATTGCACCTATCTATGTTCTTCACCAAAAGGGCACAAGAGTGCTCATCTCAGCACATCTTTGCCATCACAGCTTGTTATCAGTTTTTAAATTTTTTTTTCTGCCCTTATCATGGAAAAAATAATTGACTGTAGTTTAACTTGGTTATTTAAGCAGTTGAGCTTCTTTTTAGATGACCTCAGATCAACTGTCTCTTCCTCAGAGAATTCTCTCCTGAGTTCACGTTACCTGTTGTAAGCTCTCAGGGACCGCAAGGTTCTCCTGCAGAGCATTTTCCCCAGGTGTAATTTTCCACACATTCGTATAATTATGTGACTAATGTTTGGTTCTATTACTTGGCTGTTAGCTGCATGAAGATAGGCACATCTGCTTATTCAGTATAACCCGCAGTACCTAGCTGGGGCACAGAGCAAAGGCAGGCAAACTGCAGCCCCGGGGGCCAAACCTGGCCCACTGCTTGTCTCTGCAAATAAAGTTTTATTGGGACACATTCCCTTTGTTGACCTACTGTCTGTGCTACAGCAGCAGAGTTGAGTAGTTGCCACAGAGGCCATATGGCCCACAAAGCCTAAAATAGTCTCTATCTTGCTCTGGACAGAAAAAGTTGGCCAACCCATGGCATAGAGTAGACGTGCCATACACGTATTGCTGAATGATGGAATGAATAAAAAAAGAAAAGGCCTGTCCTCTAGTTTACCCCCTTTGGTTACATGGGGAGACAGAGACCAGAAGTAGAACAGGGACAAGGGAGGCACCGGATTGGCAACTTACAGATTGCTGAGGCTCTTTAGGGAAGAAGGGGGGTCGATCGGCCAGGCAGGACAGCAGAAACTGTGCCACCATCAGAGACAAGCACAGGTAGGTGGACAGGTGGCGGAAGGGGTCACTCTGGAAGTCCTGCGGGAGAGAAGACAGAAGTCTCACCGAGTCCAGGCAGGCAGATTGATAAGCCAACTGTACGAATCCCCCGTTGGATGCATTAGTGGGTGGCCTGTGGAATTTTCCCATTAGTGACAAAGGTTACTTTGTAAAAATCTGCCCTTAAGGACAGAAGGGTGGTTCTCTGTCCTCTCCTCTTAACCATCTGGCCCAACAGGTCTTGGGTGGGTGCCACCTGTGCAAGTGGTTGTCAACTGGGGGTAACTTTGACCCCAGGGGACATTTGACAACGTTGACAGACATTTGGGGTTACCAAGATGAGGGTTAGTGCTACAGGCATCCAGTGGGTGGAGACCAGGGATGCTACTCAACATCCTACAACACACAGGACAGCTTCCCCACCCAAAAGAGAATTATGCCACGAGTGCTGAGAAACCCTGTCTAGGCTATATATTTTTCTCTGCAGTTAAAATGATCCATCATGCCCCTAACATGGAAATGCTGCTGTCCAGTTTGGGAAACAGGAATATGAGCAGGTGTGCAAAATGAGCGTGGAAATACAGATGCATGAGAGCACGGGTGAGGGTGGGAGCAGGTGAGCATGAGGGGAAACCTGCATGCATGAGGAAGAGTGTGTGCAGGTGTGTGTCGGGGGAGGTCATGGAGAGGACGTGACTGTGAGATGACCTACAAGCTGGACCTGGGCCATCAGAGGCTCCACACCCTCCCCTGTTCCAATGAGGCAGCCTTGAGAGAGCAAGGTGTCTGAATGGCTCACGTGACTGAACCCCATTAAGGCTGCTGTATAAACTTTAAGATTCTGGTGGGTGGATGTGGAGATCTCCTTGTCTTGTGGTGACCAAGTTCCCTTGCTTGTTAAACCACCACATTCCAGTCTAAAGTGGCCTACCTTTTGCCCTCTGTGTATAGGACCAGTTTGGAATTTCACGTGGGAGCTCCGAGCTTGCCAACCCACAGTGTATCTGTTCCCAGGTGCGGTGGGAGGGCTGTGTGAATGTGTGTGTAGTGTGGGAACTTGAAGGCACAGCCACAACTGGGTGGCAGCAGGTGTGAATGCACATATGCAGGTGTGCGTGTGGTTGTGTGGACCCAGTGTGTCTGCTGTGCAAGTAAAGTGTGTGCTGTGAGTGTGTACGACCATGAGAATTTGTGCCGACAAAGACATGGGGATGATGGGTACTTCGATGGGAGGGAGTGGGCTTGTGAGTCGCTAGAGCTTAAGCACCCGTGGTGTTTGTGTCTATGTAGAGAACAGGTTGTGTGTGGAAAGGGGAGGAGGAAGGAGGGACCCGAGGCCTGAAACTGTCACTGTGGTTTCCCCAGGTGGCCCAGGCCCCCACTTACCCCTTGTGAGGCCTGCTGGGCAGTGCTGATGGCTGGCAAGAGACAGCAGAGCAACCAGTACCCAAACAGCACCCCAGATGCCTGGACCCCCTTCTTCCTCTCCATGTGGATCAGGAACACTGCCAAGATCTGCACAGAAAGTCAGGAGACACCTCTTAAGGTGGGGCGGGGGGCGGGATGCAGGGGGAAGCCCCACTCTGCCCCCCACCCTTCACTGAGGCAAGGCAAGGCAGTAAGCCAGGAGCAAGCCTAGGATGTCCTTACCATCGTGGTGAGCCAAACGGTGGGGTGAATGAGGAATTCGGGGGCCTGGGGCATCCCCTGCTGGATTCTCCAAAGAGTGACAGACACGCTGGAGGTGTACAAGATGATGAGGGTGAACCCAAGCACCTGGGGAGACAGGCTTAGATGAGGCTCGTGGGTGAAAAGAAAGGCGGTGGCAAACTGCACCGTGACCCCACGTCACTATGGCTCTGGATGGGGCACTGCACGTACCAATGTCATAATTTAACAGTGCCTGATGGAGGGGAAATTTGCGTAAGAAAAAGCAGTGAGGGGTGTTGCAAACCGATCTTGACCTGTAACTGTCATATAAGAATAAAACAGGGTTGGAGCCAACCCCGTGTTTTCCAAAATGCTGGCGGTGCTCCAGGCGTGCACAGGAGAGAGCTCAGGTACAAAGGAACAGAGTGGGATGAAATAGACTCACCAGTGAAAAAGTTACACTTCCTTCAAGTCTCTTTCCACCCCTACTGTTAAACCAAAGGGAAACTCTCCGTTGGGACCTGTATGTCTCCAGGCCCTCTCTTGAAGGCTTCAATCTCTCTTGAATAAGAGAGAGCAAAAAAGTGGGAGTGCCTACATGTGGGAGAGAAGGCCAGACCGAGGCACACCAGGGAAAGTATTGGAAGTACCTCAGTTAGTCAAAGCAGGGGTCACGCTACCACCTGCAGGCAGAGTTTGGCACATGGCCTGTTTCTGTATTGCCTGTGATCTAAGAATGGCTTTCGACATTTGCCAATCATTGAACAAAAGTAAGAAGAGTAAATATGTCATGCTGCGTGGAAGTTACATGAAATTCAAATTTCAGCGACTGTAAATATTTGTTGAAACACAGTCGTGCCTATTTGTTTACTGTGGTCTGTGGCTGCTTTCTTGCTGCAATGACAGAACTCAGTAGTTAGGACAGAGACCACATGATCCCCTCAGCCTCAAATATGTACTACCTGGCCCTTTAAGGGAGAGTGTGTCAACCATAGAGAGATGGTTGGCAATAGGACAAAAATTAACTAGGTGGTATGGGAATGAATGCACGTTGAAGGGCATTCTTGTAGAAGTCTGGAGGAGAATGGGATAGATAGTTGAGCAGAAAGGCTCACCCTTACAATGCCAGTGTTTTTGTAACTCACTAAAATAGATACCCAACATATTTTTTATTGATTTTCAGAGAGAGAGAGAGAGAGAGAGAGAGAGAGAGAGAGAGAGAGAGAGAGAGAGATATGAGAGCAAAACATCCTGCATGCCACCCTACCTGGGCTCAAACCTAAACCTTTTGGTACACGGGATGACGCCCAACCAACTGAGCCACACCGGCCGGGGCGATACCTAACAATTTGAAGAACTGTTCTTTAGTACTGAGAGCTGGGAAACATAAAAATCAATGCATAACTGTTAAACATGTAAAAGGTTTATCCTAGTGTGATCCTAAAATTACCTCGTGTATGCCCTGCTTTGCGGAATGTCAGGTTATGGTGGCCAGAAACTGTCCAGGAACGCAGGCGAGTGTGTGTGTGTGTGTGTGTGTGAGTGTGTGTGTGTGTGTGTGTGTGTGTGTGTGTGTGTTTTCATTATTACCAATCTGTTTGAGTGAACCTTGTTCCACTGAGTTTACCTCTGTATCCTGTGGCGTGCTGCTCTGTTTGGTTAAGTTCCCTTCTTGTCCCCACCCCATGTGCTTCTTGATGGGAGGAGTGCCCGCTTCGGGGTCTCTGCCAGGTTCCAGCCTGCTCCTCCCCCGCCCCCCAACCATTGTCTGGTTCCAGGCTCCCAGAGGCAGTAGCTACCATTTTGGTCTTGAACAGGGAGGACATGCGGAGGTAGCCCTTGCCATGGCGGTGGATATAGAGGAGGTAGATGGGGCCAAGGGCCCAGAGGTACATGGGGGGCACCCAGGCCCCTGCCGTTTTCAGGAAGCAAAGGCTCAGTAGGCGGTCAGCAGCGGGCTCAGGCTCCGTCTGGTTCCAGACCTGAGGGAACACCAGGGCGACTTTTATGATGGTACAGCACAGGGGTCCTAAATTCACCTGCTGAGGGGCCAGGCGACTTTTTGGACCCCTGACATTTATATGAAAACATGCCAAGCACTCTTTGGAATACCTTATAATTCTCAACTCCTTTAACCCTAGCAGCAACCCTATCAGGTAGATGCAATGATCACACTGATTTTGCACATGAGGAAGCGGAGGCCCAAAGAGGTTGAGTAACTTGGTTGATGTCACCGAGCTGGAAAGTGGTGGTGCTAGGATTTGAACCCACGTGGTTGGGTCCGGGAGTCTAGGAGACCTGGGCTCCTTGAAAAGTGCTGGGTACGGACTGTCCCTTAACCTTTATAACAACCCTAGGATGTAGGTGTCACTGCCCCCATTTCACAGACCTGGAAATTGAGGCACTGAGAGGGAACAGGCTTCTTTGGACTCACACAAACAGGGAGCGACAGAGCTGACGCCATTGACCCCAAACTTTGTTCTCAGTTTGTGATCTTTATCCTGGCCCCTGGCCTTCTCTCCCGCTTAGAAGAAGTTTGAATATGAAGTTTACAGAACATGGCCTCTTCAGTTTCCTCTCTGCTGTATTAACGGTCCCCATCTCCCTCCCTTCTGGTAATCTTGACTCCTCCGGGATTTACCACTCACCAGCTCTGTAAACTGCAACCTCCCTATGACTCAGTTTCCTTCCCTGCAAAGGGGGGATGATAGGAGAATCAATCTCTAAGATGCTGGGCACAAAGTAGGCCCTCATTTAAACATCAGCTGTTATTTTTGCCTTACCTACCAGACCCCTGAAATCGTGACCTTTACTACCATCCCATGAACTCCACTCCCTAGAGTCCTCTGCTTAGAGCCTTCATGAGAGACATGGGGGTTCTGAAGCTTTATGCAAATAGGGGTCAAAGTTCCTGGAGTTCTGGAGGCCCCTTTAACCGGGCTCGGCTCTTCTGGGCATGGGCTTGGTTAAAGGGGTCGCCCTCCCCTGCTGTTCATCCAGCCTAGTAATTTGCGGGTATCTCCCCTCCCCAGAACTATACCTCCTGAGAGGTCTACCAAACCGGGAAAAGGGGCGTGGGGCAGTCAGGGGACACTCACTCCTGGTCCCACGCTGGGCTCTCCCTGGGCGGCCATCAGCACAGTCTTTCCGTCTGTCTGTCTGTCCGTGGGTCTGTAGGTCAGTCCCTGGCAGCCCCTCGGCGGGGCTCCTAGACTGGGAAGGGGCGGAGCCCGGCAGGCCTGGCCTGGATTCCAGCCCCGGATTGCGAAGCACCGGGCAAGGTCCAGCCTCATGGCGGGGGCAGGGTGGAGCAAGAAGGGATGAAACGAGGCTCAGAGAGGCACCAACGGGCTCCTGGGGAGGGGATCCCCCAGCTCCTGAAAGTGCAGTGGCACCTCCAGGTAACACTCCAGGCCCGCGCAAAAAGTGTCACCCCGAACTTCCTGAATACTGTGGAACTGCAATTCCAGGAATTGATCCCAATGAAAGAACCTAACAGGTGTGCACATGCTAAGAGTCCAACAACTGGGGTGTGTGGGGGAACCGTCTGATTCAGCTGCTGTTTTCTCATCCGTGGGGATGGACATTGTCTGCTTCCAGGGTAGTGGGGAGATTCTAAAAAGATGACTAGTAAAGAGTTCAGCACTGTGCCAGGCACACATAGATGCTCAGCAAGTTAGCTATTATTAGCATTAGTATTATTACTTCACTCATAGGTTATTACGTAGTGGTGTAAAGAGCCGTTGCAGAAATATATTAATTTGGAAAGATGGTTGCAAAATGCTAAGTGAAAAAGAGATCATAGCCTAAAATAGGCTCTGATCATGAAAAGAAAAAGTATATGCTGAAGTTGGAGAAAGTGGGAAAGTCATATCATTTACCTTCTTCTGCGCCTTAAAGCAAGGTGTGTCCTCAGCCACGAGTTCTTTTTGGAAATGGTTCTACGTGGCCTATATGCACAAATAAAGAGATGGAAGTGCACTAAAGCAGCATTATGGGAATCCCAATTTTCTTTTTTTTTTTCTTTCCTATTCTATTTCCTTTCTTCCTACAATGAGCACGCATTCTTTTCAGGATAGGACGGAAATGCTCAACTTTTTCAGACAGATAAGCACAGATGCTCCGTTTGGGTGCAGGATGAAAATCCTCTGCTCTCTCCATGCTGCCTTGTTACTTCTCAGGCTCTTGACCTCATCTTCTCCCCTGCTTCCTGCAGGACCTCAACCACTTGGGTTCCCCTGGCCTTCTCCCCCCCCCACCCCCTTTCTTTTTTTGTTTTGCCCTCAGCCATCCTCCTATCTGGGTCTTCTGGGAGAGCAGGGACACAAAGAACCCAAGGATCTGTCTTGGAGCTGAGTGTGCCAGGTCTGCGGTTTACACTTACACAATGTCTGTTTATGTGTGGTGGTTTTGGTGGAGGCTGTTGGAAATTTTGGGGAAGCTTGAGCTCCCTCTGCCTGCAACCCCCTCTCTAATTGGCATTGCCACAGCCCTAGTCCTTTATTTCTGTGTATGTATTTAAAGATGAATTTGAGGGGAATGGTAGACATTCGAGGGGGAATGGTCAGGAAGGCAGGATGAACATAGAGAATATCTATGAGCCAGGGACAGAACTTGCGCACCTCTAAACCTACTTTCCAGCACTCTGAACATCACATGGCTGCCTGCAGAGAGCCCTAGACAAGTCCCTTTCTCTCTTTGAGCCTCAGTTTCTCATTCTGTAAGACGAGAAGGTTCCATAGGCCAGTATTTTCTAATTGGTGGTTTTTCACCCCCTGGTGATTTGCCAAGACACACCAGGGATGCATGTTAGAAAGGGTAAAGGGCATATATTTCAATTGTAGCTATATACAACAAACCTCAAGCAATAAAACAATTATTTAAATCTTTTCTCTCTATAACCAAACAGTTGAGAGTCTCACTGTATTTCAAATGAGAATTCAGATTGAGAAACTGAAGTCAGATGCTCTCATTATTGAGATCCCCAGTGGATGTATTGTAGCCAGTCTGAGGGTTTTGACCTTTGGGTAGTTCAAGATCATTGTGATTTATAGTTTTTATGAATCTCAATGTCTTAGCCACAATGGCAAATTCCAGTGGGAAATTTTCTTTTACCTCATGATTTAGAAACAAAATATAAAAAACTATCAAAATAAAGCACTTGATTTTTTTTAGGAGCAAAATGGAAGCTTTCCAAAAGTGTCAGGTCAGAAAAAGCAATTTTTGTCTATTTCTATGTGGTGACCTGCAGTTAAATTCAATCTATGTTACAGTATCTATTCAACCCTCAAAATTTGTTTCTATGCAAATATTATTAGAGCTTGGATTAAAATAAAAATATATATTTTCAGTGTTATGTTGAACTTAAATGACCTATGTTTTGCTTTAAAAAAACCTCATTGGTCATTTATCATTGAAAAATGCACCAACTTATACAAATTTCTAACTTGGTTTTTGATATATATATATATATATATATATATATATATATATATATATCACCTGCGAAATATTTGGGAAAATTCTTGAACACTACTTCAATTAATAGTTTCTGGTCCTTTCCAGTTTCAGGGATACTGAATTCCAAAGTAGAATTCTTCAGAGTTTGTGCCTATACTCATATGCCTTGCAACTGCACCTGTCAGACGGTGTGCGGAGTCCTCCAGGCCTCCAGGGGGCACACATGACCTCTTTTTGGTGTTGAGCATGCGCGGGAGTCATCTTGCCTGGGGGCGTGGGCCCGGGGTCGGAGCGCGCACGCGCGGTGGCGGCGGGGCGGGGCTTGGGCTGTCAGCCACTGGCCAAGGAGGAAGCAGCGGGCAGCGTGCGGTGTGCGGAGCGGGACGGGGACCTCTGCGGAGGGTCGGGCGGCGGAGGCCGGGCCATGCGGCTGTGCCGGGGCGTGGGGCCGCCGGGGCCCGCGGTGGTGGCTGCCACCGTGGTGCTGCTGCTGAGCGGCGTGGGACCGGCGCGCGGCTCCGAGGACATCGTGGTGGGCTGCGGGGGCTTCGTCAAGTCGGACGTGGAGATCAACTACTCGCTCATCGAGGTGAGCGCTCGCCCCGCGGCCCGGCCGGAGCTTGCTGTGTGACCCTGGGCCGGTTACTCAACCTCTCTGGGCCGCGGTGGTCTCTCCTCTGACACCGAGCGGTTACCACCAGCCCCTCGTCCCCGGAGTCCTTTCCCCGTTAAAGGCGCCACTTGCCGCCGGGCCCTCCGCCCCCCGGGACGCGCGGGAGTGGAGGTTCCTCCCGAGGGGCCGGCTCTGCAGGCGTGGTGGGGGCCAGAACCCGCGCGCGCAGGGCAAGGTCTGCGGGGTGTGCGGGACATTTCTGGTGATGGTGGTGCATAACTTGTACCAGATCACTCAAAACCAAGGGTCCTCCAAACCAAGGCCCTCAGATTCTTGAAAGCCCAAACTCCAGCTCCGCAGCATGCAGTCAAGGTAATCCAGAACCCAGACTATCCCCAGCATCCAGGCCCAGCTCTCCCAACACCCATCTCAGCAGGCCCCAGGCCCCTGGGGACCCGACCCAGGTCCTCAAAACTCGGACCCCCTGAAACTCAGATTTCCCAGAAGCCATATTCCGGAACCCTAGAGACCACAAGTCTTACCCCCAAACTCCACAACTCAGTGCCCCCAAAAGTTCTGTTCCACTAACCCCCCTTCTTCCCCCTCCCCCCCTCCCCCCCTTACACACACACACACACACACACACACACACACACACACTCACTGGGATGCTTTTAAAAAGCAGCAGTTCCCATCCCAGAGATCCTGATCCAGTAGATCTCTGTTGGCATCTCTGGAGCTGGGAATCTGTATATTTAGTACCTGGCCCCCTTTGCTTACCCCCTTGGGACTCTGTGCTCTCCTGATTGCCATACTGGGTAGTTATTGGAATTACACTAGAGATTGGTGCAGAAGTCTTTTTATTAAGTTGCAAAGCCCTAGTCCAGCGGTTCTCAACCTGTGGGTTGCAACCCCTTTGGCGGTCGAACGACCCTTTCACAGGGGTCGCCTAAGACCTTCCTGCATATCAGATATTTACATGACGATTCATAACAGTGGCAACATTATAGTTATGGAGTAGCAACAAAAATAATTTTATGGTTGGGTCACAACAGGAGGAACTGTATTTAAAGGGCCAGAAGGGTGAGAACCACTGCCCTAGTCAGTTAGATGATGATCAGTCCAGTGGAATTATGGCCAAGAAAGCTTTGTGATGAGGAAGTAGGGATAGAAGGTTGCTTGTCAGGGTGAGTGGGCAGGGCCCCAAGGGAAGGGTGGCTTCTATTTCAGGAGGTTATTGATGATGGGGCAGAAGATAAGGATTTAAAAGAGAAAAAAAAAAAAAAGAACCAAAAAGATGTCAAAAAAGAAGGGACTGAGGACGGAGACTCCAAAGGCTGCCCGAAAGCATGTTGGAGCCTCCCCGGGGCTGGCAGCTGCAGGGCTGTGGTGAGGGTAAGCTGGTGTTCTGCAAAGGTTGCTGAGGATTGGGGCGGGGGAGGGGGGGGCGATGCCACGCCCCACTTGCTCTTTGACCTGGCCTTGCCCCAAGTGCCAATTTATTCCTGTAGATGGTGTGAGAGAAGCAGCAGGACCTAGTGCCATATATTTCCTAAAGAAGATAATCAGTTACCCCCTTTCAGGCCCCTCAGTCTGTGGCTTCTCCACCATTTTTGATCTTAAGAAGTTGGGTGTTTAATCAAAGGCTCTACCCACTGGCAGGGGCAGGCCTCCGAGGGTCAGCTGGGTACCCATGCCACCTCCTGGATTGCCTCCAGTGTGTGGGCACGGGGCATTTCAGAAGCTGCCTGGATAGGCTTTTTTGTAGCTTGTCGTTTCCTGGGACTCTGGGAGGAAAGTGAAGGCAGTTAGGGGCACTCCCACCCCAAACACGATAGTGACCTTGAGAGCCGGGCACGTATTGTGACCTAGTCTTAAGTGTGCTCCGTGAGCCCAAGGCTGCCTGTCCAGATGGTCTGACACATTTATTCTTTCGTAATTTCTGATTATGAAATCAGACATTTCATATGTGTAATGTATATTGTCACCTTGTGCCCTGACCTGTACTTAATGAAAGACGTGCAAATAATCAAGATGTTTCACAATAATTTCTTGATTGTATTTTCTGTCTCCTAATAAAACTACTTTTACTCTTTCCTAGCCTTCTTCCCTTCTGTGTGTTTTTCCATCA